AGATTTGGAAAGATCTGACGTTGCACTGCTCTCATTCGTGGGTTTCTCGATGACTTCCTCCACGAACCAATCGCCGACCCTTGTTCTACCCCAACTCATTCACCCCCTTCAAATTGCTCCAAACCCCAACGTTGTTGGTGACTTCAACGCCAGGATCCAGTCACTTAGTATGGCTTCGATTCTGCCGCAAAACTCACCGACGCCAACGGTCACGTTTCTTGATCAGTGGCATGGGTTGGGCTGTAGAAGCCATCGAAGAAGCCAACCAGTCTAGGCTTCGCAGACACTGGACGAACGACGTAATGCACTGGTTTTCCAAGCAGACACAAGGTGCACGCAAGGTCAACAGCTCAATAACGGCAGCATTCTCCTCCATCTGGCCAAGACGCTAAGATGACGACGCCGTACTCAGGCAATCAGGATACAACGCTGGTCTTCCACAGCCCGTTTCTTCTGTGTTGATGTTCACAGTTACACCTTGGCCGATGCTGCAACCCGTTCTCATCCCTCCTCATCACCTGGATGCGCCTCTTCGGCAGGGCAAGCCCCGTTCCGTCCGTCCTTCTCATCCACGTGGGAAGAATGAGTTAGGCTGAGAGCTCAGCTAGCGGCAAGGTTTGGTCGGGCATCGATGGCATGGCTTGGTTGTTCCATTCATTGGTCGTGAGCCTCCTGGCTGCAACTATGTTAATCAGACTCGCAAAATATGTGAGCGACTTCATGGACGGGAAATCCATGTTGACTCAAGAATGGGTTTGACGAAACTGTTACATTTCAATTTCAATACTTTGACATCCCGCGGCCGCCCATCCGTTGCAAGACGACGGACTGAGGAATACTTTCCTTCCCCAGCTTCCTCTGCCGTCTTGGCCCGACTATCGACGTCGCAGAAACCCTCTGAACCAACAAAGTGCCAATCATGGATTTGCTTTCCATTGGGCACAATGGCCCATTTGTTGATGTCAATTCTTTCTACAACATTGTATTGGTCGATGTTTCTCGAGGTGGGCTGCAGTCAAGTGACACTGGCGGTCTCTGTGGATCACCGAGCCGACTGATCTAGGGTCGCGATTTGCCTGAGGCGTCGTCTTGATGTTTCCAGCAGGTCAAGGGACTTCGTGTTCCAATGCAGTGGATTGAAGAGTAACATCAATTTCTTGGGCCAACCAACGCTGAATCAAGTGAGGATCTGTTGGGGGCTTCGGCAACTGGACCGTGGTTCCATCAGTCAGGGACACCCGCCGCAATCCTCGGTGATTCTTTGGACTACAGTTGAGGAACTTTGCGCCGCATTAAGACCGAGAGATCGGAAGCTTTTGAGGCTGTCCCCTACGAGCTCCGTCTGGCGGTTCACTCCTCAAAAAATACCAGCAGACAAGTCGTTCCCGCAATGCAAAACCCCGCAAAAAGGTTTCGGGGCCATGCAAGACTTAAAACAGATTGCCATCCGGCATTTCGGAACCGGCATGAGACAGAAGTCCTCTGGTGGACCTTCGGGGAGTTTTCCTAGCGGCTGCAGGTAGGGCGGGACGGCATCAAGCTTACGTTCGGCTCAGGAGGTGTGATGCCTCTCTGGTAACCCGATATTCTGCTGATCTCAGAGGATCCGCCGCGTTGCTACCTGTCAAGTCAAGAAGCAGGGCCAACCAAGTCTGGATCCAGTAGACATCGGATCAGATCAATCAGGTGAATGCCACTGGCTATTGCGGATCGGGGTTATACGTGGGCAGTGAAGCTTTCGCCGAAGTTGTCCGTGACATCGACGGCCCAGTGCAAGCATGCCAGAGTCCCAAACTAGTGTTCGGCCCGGCTGCCGCCAAAGTGCATACCTTATTTCTTTCAGATTTGCGGAGTCAGACTTCTATTTGATACGGGCAGGATTGAAGAGCTGGCCTACGCGGCTGGCTTGCCCTGGCCAAAAGCTAGACGCGATTTTCCAACGCAAGTCAGTCAACGACACTACTCTCCACGCCACCTGATCCGGATCATTGAGAAAACACACAGTACCTCTTTCAGACATTGACAACACTAACTCTCAAAGCGAGGCGCTTTACTCGGGATAAAGGAGAAAAGGTTATACCAACCCCACGTGCCGGTTAAACTCTGTCAAGCCTCTTGGGAAGCTGTCAAGACGCAAGATGCCTTATTTGGACGACGGAGACCGACTTGTCACATTGCATGCGGTTACACTTGTTTATACTCCCCCAGGTGCCGGCGGGAGGCATGCCCGTGCAGCAGCTGAGAACCAAGTTCGGTTCATAGAACACCTCAGCGTCGCAGGCCGTACATTGCCATACACTGTCAGTGGCAATGGGCGGACCACCTTCACCAGCTTTGATCACCAACGTAGCCCGAAAGCAATTTAGCACGGCTAGGATACGCGGCTTCTCCTTCCGTCTTTATCTGGGGAAATGCACCCTAGTCTGCAGCTATACGAGAGGACCATACCGTCGTCATGTCATGTTGCGGGTTACCTCGCAGTAGCGAGAGCATTTCTTGGATTCAATATGTCCGATGACATTCGGGAACATGTACACGTTTCGGTTGTTGAATGAAGTAACCAGTGCTACACAATGCAACACATATCAACACACTGAGGGAGCGGCATACTGTCCGGCCCGGAGCAGCGAAATGACTGCCATATGCACCCGCGGGAAGCAACACAGCTTGACAGCTTGACAGACCTGGCACAACCACGGTCTATTTCTGGGTAACAATCCAACAAGGCCTGATTTTTCGTTCCAGGCACTAATCACGAGACGCTCTGACCCCTGTTACTATCTGGATATTACGATACTCCCGAAACTCGATAGGGATCCAATGAGACTCGGATACGTGCCGATCAACCGCCCGTCTGAGACCGACAGCGGGCTACATTTAAGCTTCTCGTACTAGCTTTTCGGGATCAACCTCCGCTTCGTGTTCCAACATAACCGGACATCCCATGGCACTTGCGCCAGGCTGTCAGACCCCGAAGTGATCGTTTTCGAGGCCTGGAAGTCTGAGGCTACAAATGTGCATCATTCCAAGTGTTTCTGAGCCTCTCACTCACTCAGCTTTTATTTGGCTCTGCGTTAAGCACCAAAATATCAAGGACCTTCTTAGGCCCTTATGAATAGCTTACTCTCTTGAGATATCGCCCCAGGAGAGATCCCTTTCGGCCTTCCTCCATCCAAGAAGACTCGATCAATAGCTCTTCAACCAGAGGCACTCACATCGTTGATATTGACTTCGCCCCCCACGACGTCAAGGAGGGACCCCTCCGAACAACCCTCACGCCGATATTGACCTACTCAACGATGAAACCATAGCTATTGCTGAGCTGAAAGACCAACGTAGATCCTCAATATCGCCGCCCGTCATGCAATACAACTACTCAAAAATTTCCATGGATGCGTGAAGTCTGGGTCCAAAGGCGGCATCGACGTGACACCCCGCAGAGGCATCATGTAGGCACCCTGCCGACGCAACCCGCCTCATCGGGCGAAGGGTCACTCTATTGCCTTACTGGGCATCAGACTGGCTGTTCCGTGGATGAAGCTTGGTTCGGGGATGTCCTTCGGGGTGGCGGGGTGTGCCGTGGGTTGGCTCCGTCGGAGGATACGGCTCAAAATGAGCAGTTGGTGATAGCCTTGAATGGTGAGGAGGGATTCGATCTTCGGAAAGCATCTTCTCTGTGCTTTTGCAGGTTTGGAAGATTCATCGTCTTCAGGTTTGTGAGTGGGTGCGCTCTTTACCCTCGCGTTTGGGTTGCTGTAAGGGAATGGGTTATGGGTCTAGGCAACATCGGTGTCCAACTTCCTATTCTATCTACGTTTGAGGCATGACGATTCCCCGAATTAGCTGCTCATGATGACGAGATGAAGCGTGATAAGGATGAGATGACTCGACGACACCACTGAAACGATCATCGGTCACATGCTGGCCTAGCCGCCGTTGAACTATGAACAGTCGCGCTGACATTTTATAGCCTGCTTCTAGATGGGCTTCTGGTTCCGATTCCGGTAACAACATCGTTCACATGTAGTTTCGATATGCCACTCACACTGTCGGAACGACTTCGGATCAACTCTCGAGCGGCTTCTCCGACAGAGTTCTGGCCAAGAGGATGGGCTCGGTGCAAATGCCATGGCGTTTCCATACATGCTGCGTATTCAACTGAATAGAACATGAAGACCAAGAATACGGCCAGCATGAGGTTCAATAACTACTCGATGCGGACTACCAACAAGAGCATCAGTCAGCGGACTTCCCACGAACTCACTTCTCGGCTCGACTTGATCATGCATGCACGAGTAGGGCTGAAGTTGCCGGGCAACACTACTCCAGATGACAGAGATGACACTCGGCCTCAAATCAAGAATGAGTCTCTCGAGCACTTGAAATTCAGAACAACATTCGGATTTATGTGAAAAGCAGTGCTCGACAACTGGGACTTGTTGAGTGAACAATGTTTGCAAAACCTACCTCGCAATTGTCGGCGCCAGGTCTTGCAACTCCCATCCTCACATCATCAGCCCATCAACACGGAGTCACGACGTCGAACAGGTCAAGAGCAGACGAATACTACATAATCCAAAAAAGCTTCTTCGATTGACTACGACTGCACAACGGCAACAGCTATGAATCCATTAAGATAGGACACACAGCTCGCACATTTCTCGCAGTTCTCGACGAAGGGAGTAAAGGTCACATGCTCAGGTTCATGCTATTCCATAACAACCAGACCTCTAAAAGCCAGCTAGCTACCTAAAGCCCAAGTCCCGTGAACGCCATTAGACCGGTGTTTTGCCCCTTCCAGTTTGGATGTGTCGGTGTGGTAATGTGTGTTTGAAAAAAAAACAACACGGCAAAGTAAAGATAAGCCAAAAAAAATTCGATGCCCGATAGAGTTGCTTTTGTAAGTGGTATCTTGGTTTTTTGTGTGTCCAGACAAGTTGGGCGGGTTGATGACCATTCTGAATGTTTCACCCGCCACCCGCTTTTTCCCAACAACGAACCTATGCGGCGACTTCGGCCTTGGTGTCGACCTTCTTGGCCTCGGGCTGAGCGGCGGCGCCGTCGTCCTCGCGGGCGCGCTTGCCGTTGTTGTTCTTGTCCTCGGAGACGACTTCGCCCTTGTCGTTGGTGGCCTGGATGGTAGGCTTGCCACTGCAGAGGGAGTTAGCACAATCGTGTTCTTCATTGAACAATGGGATAGTCACATACGCGTTGCGGTCGTTAGCACGCTCGTTGGGATCCCTGCGGTTCTCCTGCTGGTCGCGTCCGCCCCGGCGGTCACCACCACGGCCCCTGCCGCGGCCACCGCGGCCGCCGCGTCCTCCCCTGAAGCCGTTCTTCTGGTCGTTGTCACGGCGCTGCTTCCAGTTGTCCTTGTCCCTGCCGCCACGGTTGTTGTTTTTGCCGCGGCCGCGGTCGCTGCCATCCTTGCCTTCGAAGAAGCGGCGCGACTGGTTGGGCTCGAGCTTGCCGGCGATGATGAGGGCGCTCTTCTCCTTGACGTAGTCGACCTTGGGCATGATCTTGAGGTCGTGGCCCTTCCACTTGGGCTTGGGGTCGAGGGCGAGGAACTTCTGGGCGGCCTCCTCGTCGGGGAACTCGACGAAGACGGAGCCCTTGAAGAGCTTCTCGGCGGTGCGGCGGAGGCGGACGGAGTTGATGGGGCCGAACTGGGTGAAGAAGGCCTCGAGGTCGAACTGGGTGGAGGGCTCCTCGTCGCCGAAGCCCTTGACGTAGACGCAGCGCAGGTTGTACTTGTCGTTACTAGGGGTGTACGCCTGCTTGCGCTTGATCAGCTCCTCACCCTCCTCGCCGGAGATCTCGAGGCTGGCGCTCTCCTTGAGCGCGGCGACGACGGCGGAGTACGGCTGGAAACGGCGCATGCGCTTGAAGGAGGTAATCGTCTTGAGGGGGATGGCGTTGTTCTCGAAGCCACCGGTGAGCTCCCACAGGTACTTGTCGTGGGGCAGGTTGCTGTCGGACAGGTAAAACTCGACCTTTTCGTGGACCTGTTAGCCAACGCGTCTGAATTGGGGGGTGTTACTAGACGCGCGCCATACCTGCTTGCGAATCTCGACCGGGTCATCGGTCTCCTGGAGCACAGAGGCATCAAACTTCACGTTGTTGGCGTGATCCTTGGAGTCGATCTGGGCGGTCGTCTTGAGAACGTCTTCCTTCTTCTCCTCAGGCTTGGCTGCGGTCTCTTCAGGCTTGACCTCGGCCTCCTCAGGCTTGGCCTCGGTCTCCTCCTTCTTGGCGGGCTCTTCGGCCTTCGCAGGCTCGTTAACCTCGACGGGCTCGGCAGCCTGGGCAGGCGCCTCGGCGGCGACAGCCTCGACGGGCTTGGTCTCCTCGGCGGCGCTCATCGTGTGGCTGGTCGAGAATCGAATTGAAAGTTTTTGGTTGTCTGTAGGCAAACAGTCAACACTTAGGTACTTCGAGAAAGCAATCTTCTCAATGGTAAAACAATTGATCGTCACGTGGAAGATGTGAGTAACACGGGGAGAGGTGAATCGATCTGGAAGAATATCGGGTGGCGGGGTACTCGACAATACAGGAAAGAGTCAGAGAGTGAGTAATTCGGAGAAAGCTTACAACAAGGTTAAAAGGTCAATGGTACTGAGCGACCGTGTTTCGAGCCGTGAGTATACAAGAACGTGGCTGTTGTGCGTGTTGGTATGGTTCTTTTCGTCCCGTATTGTTTTTTTCGTAGCGCAAGAGAGGCAGCGGAGAAGGTCGATTCGCCAGTGAGGATTTTGCGACCAGAAATTCGCATGCACGACAGGAAGCTCCAGTTTCTGCCGCGGCGGATTGCGCGCATACGATGCACACCGCCCGCAGCAAAGTCCACTTGGTGAGGTGGGGAGCCTTGAAAAAAATCAACCAGTGAATTTTTAGCGGGAGGTTGGGTACGTACCGACCACCTCACCCTTCGAAGTTCGAGTCGAGAGGACCCTGACAGGCTTAGGTAATCCAATCCAGTTCCAGCGTTTGGCGCGACCGTGACAGCTCTCTCGAAGTGAGTCAGGTACGTACCGTTTTTCCAACGCCCGCCGCACGGGAGATGCCGTCCCACGGCCAAAATTTCCGTCTCTACGTCTCATGCTCCTGAAGCTGTCGCCATCCCTCTGGCTTCACGAACGCGACCACGTCCGCCCAATTAGCCCAGTATGAGAGCCAGAAAGCCGAGGTGGTACAGTCTTCGTGACATTGTAAGTGGCATCCCGTCTCATCGGCCTTGCATCGACGTCAATTGGTCGTGTGCTCCCAATATAAAAATGTCCAAATCGTCACATCACGAAACAAAAAGCTAACAGTCCACCCCCGCCGCACAGAAAGTCCGCCAGTCATGGAACAAACATAACCTCTTCAACCTCATACGGAAGAAGATAGAGCCCTGGCGCTACAACAAGACCTTCTTCCAGCAGAAATGGCTCGCAAAGTCCGCCACGAGAGCCTACCACGGCGCCAACATCAAGGAGTCCGACTGGGCCCGCATGTTCTCCCGCCGCCTCTACTCCGCCGTCGACATGCCCCCCGAGTACCTCGCCAAGTACGACGGTTCCGAGCAGGCCCAGGGCCGCGGCTCCGGCCGCGCCGGCCTCCAGACCGCCGCCCACAACCACTCCCGCTACGAGCTCGAACGCCAGCAGCGCCTTGCCCAGCCGGACATCGATCCGAGGCTGCACCCCAGGGCCGGCTTCATGGACGCGTCGGGCAAGATGATGGGCCGTCCCATCAACGACATGACGCCCTACATGCAGATGGCCTACGCGCCGCTCGAGAGGAGGCTAGACGTCGCCATCTTCCGTGCCATGTTTGCTAGCAGTACCCTCCAGGCGAAGCAGTTCTGCACACACGGCGCCGTCAAGGTCAACGGCAAGACTGTAGGTCACCTCCTTGGACTCGTTTGCGCTTCTGCCCTTCTGGCGAGACGTGGTAATGACCGGTTAACTAACAAACAACCCCCAGATGCGCTACGGTGCCTACCTGCTCAACCCGGGCGACATGTTCCAAGTCAACATCGACTCGGTCCTCTACGCCACCGGCCGACCCAAGACCCCGGCCCACGCAAAGTACCTCGCCGGCGAAGACTGGGAGTCCCAAAACCTCAAGTCCACCAACGCAGAGGCCTCAGAAGAAGGAGAATCGTCCGAGACGTCCCCCGCCGCCGAAGCCGAAGCCGAAGCGTCAGAGGACGCCGAGGCCCAGGCCGCCGCCGCCGAGGGCGGCGAGGAGGGAGCAGCCGAGAACCTGGAAGAGCTCACAGAGGAGGAGCGCGTCGCGCTCCGCAAGAAGCAGCTCAAGTCGCTCGTCAAGTCCGCCAAGGACCTCATCAGCGACGGCGAGGGCCTCAACCCGCGCAAGAAGCGCCAGCTCCGCGCCTTCATGAGCGAGGCCAAGCGCGCCATGTCGCAGTCCGGCCGCACCGCCGAGTCGGCCACCATCAGCCCGGACAACGTCATGGACCACCTGGCCTCCATGCTCAAGGACTTCAAGCTCGAGGGCACCCAAGTCGAGGCCGTCGCCTCTCCCCAACAGCAACAGCCCCAAGAAGAACAGCCCCAGAAGGAGAAGAAGCTCAGCGCCAAGGACAAGGCCACCGCCGACACGCTCACCGAGCTCGTCTCCAGCAAGGCGATGCGCGAGGCCATCGGCAGCCTGTCCAAGGCCGAGCAGAGCGCCCTGGCGAGCCTTCTCCGCAAGGACGCCGAGAACCCCATCGACGAGACCAAGCCCTACTGGACGCCCTGGCAACCGCGTCGCTACATGGGTCCCTTCGCCTTCATCCCTCGCTACCTCGAGGTCAACCAGAACATTTGCGCCGCCGTCTACCTCCGTCACCCCGTCGCGCGTCGTGGTATGGCCGAGGTGCCCACTCCCTTCCCTTACGAGATCAACCAGCTGGCTTTCAACTGGTATCTGAGAAGGAGGTAAAGGGTTTGTTAATGAGGTTTGGTGGAGCACGGAATGGGCGGAGAGCGTCGCCTCTGAGGGGTTCAGGAGGCATTGTACAACAGGATATAGAGTCCAAGCTTGTAAGACTGCATGTGGAGACTTCGATGTAGTCTTAAGTGTACATCATATCTGGCAGAGGAAAATGAAAAACTCCGCCTATCTTACATTCTCGATAATTGTATACTAGTGCCGTAACCTTTGGGAGCGAGACACTTTGGCGATTGAGGTGCTGACATACAGGCGAGACATTACTCGACGCAAACAACACATTTTGGGAAGAAATCCTTTTGTTGAACCACAGAGGAACTAAGCTAGCAAAGAGAATAGACATCAAGGAAAACGAATGCCAAGTAAGCGAAGACGCCTGTCGTCATGCCAGGTCGTCGTCTACCCCTCCCTCGCCATGACCTCATCCGAATAAAATACACCAGGAGTAAGTAGCTAGACATAAGCGGGCTCCATCCACGGCGCATCGCTCCCGTCCGGTCGCCATAATTGTGCTTCCACAGCAAAAGAGAGATGAGGAGGTTCACTACCAGGCGGCAAGAGTATCGAGCGTGGCATCGTAGATTATAACAAAACCCTATTCCGAGTGGCAAGTCTTTGCGAAGAAATGAAACCACGAGGATACTCTGCTAGCGCAAGTGTGTTCGACCAACTAACCCTCATGTCCCTCCCCGAGGCCCTTCTCTCCCATGTCCGCCACAATAAGTATGGCTACGGCAAATAGAACTGCAAAAGTGTTCCGAGAACGCCTCATCGCCAGAATCAAGCCTCGCAGAAGCAATGACTCCTCGTATTTTGCTTGCGCGTCTTTCCATCCATAGTCTGCATCAAAACCCCCCTGCATGACTGCTTCGTAAAGACTTTTTGGTGATGTTGGGTTTCCGTATGTGATTAGATGAGGGATTGGTGATTAAAAGAGGTCGAGAGAAAAAGGGGTGATAAGAAAGAACAAGAAGAGAACCGACAAAGAGGCGCGTTGTGCTGGTATTGTATGGGCATCATGGGTACTTAGACATGGGTCGTAGAAAGGAGAATGCGAGCAAAGTGGCGTCAAGAGACCGGCAGGTTTTTAGCGAAGCGAGAAGCCCTTCCGCTTGCCTTCCTTCTCGATGGGCCGACCGCTCTCGACTCTTTGCTTCTTCTCCTCAAGCTCCATGCGTTGGCGCTCGAGTTGCTCCTTCATCTCTCTGTGGCGAGAGTAGAGCTCTTCTTCGCTCTGCTTGAGCTTGCTCTCCTTCTCTGCGACCTTTTGCTGGAAGACCATCTTCATCTCGGCCTCCATCTTGGCGAGCTTCTGCTCGTGCAGGGCACGCTCCTCCTCCTGCTTGACGGCCGGGTTGACCTCCTTGAACACGCTGGGGTCTTGGGACACGCCCATGCCGATGAGCTTGTCGGTACGGTAGTTCTCGTACAGGCTGTTGTTGGTGTGCTCCTTGAGCTCCTCCATGTGAGTGCGGATGAGCATTTGGCGGAGCTTGACGAAATCGCAGTGCTCCTCGTTGTCGACCTCGATGACACCCCAGGGGTAGCTACGTCCGCGAACCTTGCGTCCATCCGCGTTGGTGATCTCGTTGGTAGCACCCACGACAGCGAACGGGACCTTGGACATGATCTCGTTGTTCTCGGCAATGGTCTCCTCATCGTCGAGCTCGTAGCGAGGGCCCTCGAAGATCTGAATGCCGTGGTACTTAATGTCGGACAGAATCTGGACAAATGTGAGCATGCTGAGAAGAAAACAGACTTCGCGTTACGTACTCTAGACTTGAAGTTTGCAATCTCCTCGTCGGTAAGAGTGTCGGCCTTGGCAATGACGGGAATCAGGTTGACCTTGGTGTGAAGGCGGCGCATGACCTCGATGTCGAGGGGCTTCAGAGAGTGGCCGGTAGGCTGAATGAAGAAGACACAGGCGTGGATGCGGTTGTCGACAATGTTCATGCGGTTGACCTTGTTCTCAGCATCGAGGTATGCGTCATAGCGCTGCTCAATGTTGTCGACGATCGGGCGCCACGACTCGTCGTTGTTGACAAAGTCGCCGAATCCAGGGGTGTCAACGACGGTCAGACGAAGGCGAACACCGGCCTCCTCGATATCAGCACTGATGGACTGGATAGTGACAGTCTTCGGGATGATGTCGAGGCTAGGGCCCTTGCGCTCCTTGGGAGGGTACAGAGAGGTGTTGAAGAGGGTGTTGACCAGAGTGGACTTTCCGAGGCCGGATTCACCTGTCAATCAAGTATCAGCAACTGCCCAACGTGCCGTGCCATTGGGAATCAAAACCTACCGACAACCATCACGTTGAAGTTGAATCCCTTGCGGACACTCTTGCGGTGCCATTGGTTAGGCAGGTTAGCGAAGCCGACATAGCCCGTCAGCTTGCGGCGAACAATGTTCCTAAGATCGCTGGAGGGAGCCGCCGCCATGGGGGGAACACCGCCAGCTAAGGACGCGTTAGAAATGGCTTCTTGAATCTCATTCTCAGAAACAAGCTTGCCGGCGGGGGGCGACGCCGGTGCCGCCGATGGCGGCGGGGAGGTAGCAGGAGAACCTTCGGAGGCTGTTCATGAATCATGTCAGCAATCATCCTCCACAGAGTGCTGCGCGGTTAAATATGTTCGGCAAGACAGAGGCAAGAGGAGCTTCTGACTGTTTGGCGGACCCATGGATTCGTCCGTAGCCTTGCCCTTGCCCTTCCCTTCGGCAAGGTGCTGAGGGTGGCTGGAACCTGATCGGAGCTCTGTGTTGGCGTCGTCGTCGCTCCGCGGGATGTGAAGATCATCGTATGATAAAGGCCTGGGTGCAGCAATCTGGGGAGTAGGATCTATATCGAGCATGCTCCTGACTTTTTGAACGGTGCAACTTGACGAAGACGATCCCTTCTGGGCAGGCGTGACGATTTCCTCGTCCTTCAAGTCTTCCCACTGAATGGACTTCATCGGCAGGCTGCTGGATCGTTGGGATGCTTGCCGAGCGTCTGTTCTGTGCGACTGAGAGCTCCGGGGACGGTTCGTCAGGTTCTTGAGAATGCCTCTGCCTGTGCTTTTGCTCGACGACATTTTGTATGTTTGAGTGGTTGCGTGTTCTGAGTAGTGCAAGGGAATAGCTCTGGTCTACCAATAAAGGACCAAAAAAAGGGGAAACCCAAGAAACGGTAGATGGTGGAACGAATGTGGTCGAGTAACGAGAGATGCGATGTCGTGGGAGGAATCCTGAAACTCGTTGGATCCGAGGCGAGGAGAGAAACAGTCCAGAAGTCCCCCGGCGACTGTCTCTTGCCGTTGATGAAGCCTGGCTCCTCTTGCCTTGCCTGGCCTTGCCATGGTATCACATAGTCGAGGGGAAGGGGCTTACCCATATCGAATACGCGGAGAGCAGTCAAGATCGAGAAGGAATTGGTCGAAAAAATAGGTCTAGAGGGAGCAGGAGAGAGTTAGCAATGCTGTGGTGGCAATCAAGTTGTCGAGGCAGTACAATCGCGGAAGGTGAGGTGAACAGGGAGGTCGAAGATGATAGGAGTAGGGGACGTGACGAGGCAGACCGCGCGGCAGCAGGATCAAGCCAGATTGTCGAGGAGATGATCAAGGCAGGAGAAGGAGAGACGGTTCGTATGATGGGATGGTTCGCAGGCTGTTTCTCGGGACGGGTGGCTCATGCCAGGAATTGTTGGGCGAAAATGAAGGCCTTGAGGAAGGACGAACGTACGTACCTGAACGTCTACAAAGTAGTCGCGTGTCAAGGAGTGTCGCAGAAGGAGAAGAAGTCAGGTAACGAGAGGAGGGAGCAGCAACGACAGGTGGCGATGGTCTGCAATGGACAATTGGGGACCTCTCGTGTCCAGGTGAAGAGATACTGGAGATGATCGAAGCAGTATCGATGATGTCGAAGGAGAAGGGAAGATTTCACAACCTCAGGGAGAGAGAGCGTGGTGGTTGCGAGGTAGAGGTAAGGTTGGTGCAGGTAGGTTGTCGATGGAGGTAAGGTGCTCCGTACGTTTTGGGTGGGAAGGGGAAATTTAGGGTGCAAAGGGGTCTGGAAAGATTTGGCTGTGCGACCCCGTTTCCTGACCGTGACTGTCCATGCTCTCTCCCAATGTCACCTCACCTCCCGCTCCTCGCGTCTGCTGCAGGCACCTCAGTTAGCACTCTGTTTCTACCCAGCTCAGTGGCAGCGTCCGTGTACAGGGGACCAGCATGCGCTGTGAGGGCGAAAAAGTGTAGACCTGACCTGCTGCTGGCCGCAGCGTGCCCAACACGACAAGCACATTGGATTGCTGTCCCCTTCCCTTTCGATTGGGAGCATTGAGCAAAAGGGGGTTGAATTGCACTAATCCTGGTCAGGTTAGCTTGGTGTATGTGGATCTATCGCAGGGGTTGTGGATGGAGAAAGTGAATTAGAGACCGGGGCTGCCCTCAACGGCGATCTCTGATTGGACATGGAGTGGAGGTCGTAATGAAGCAACAGAAAAAAAAACCGCCAAAAGGAGGCCCTTGGAGATTGGAGACGACAGAGATGAATTTCATCAAGATGGCTGAGATCTGCATGCAAACAGAGAGAATGGTCAAGAACAGTATCCGTATACACATAATTTTGGGGTTCAGAAGTTGACAGAACGCGGTTCTGTCTGCACCATCTAAGGCACTTGACATTGTCAAGACAGACTGACACCAAAAATACATTTTGATGCTTCCTCATTCATCACTCTTGGGTATATCGCGATGTTTTCCTGCCTTACCAGCGCATCTACTCCACTTCCTGTCTAAGTGCCACTGCCTCAGTTGCCGGCGATGGGGGCCACGGAAGAAACAATCTGGGGCGTTTGGCCAGCCCGTCGCTCTGTTCGAGTAAGGCGGCACCTTATTATTAGCTACCTCAACGACACGAACACAGTAGGGCCCAGAAGGCATCCGTGATGGCTTGCGACATTGACAGGTGAACCGTGAACCGACATTGAGAGGATGAAACGACAAGCACCAAGTTGAGTTTTTCAGAGCTTTTTTTTTCACTTTTGCTTCCCATGTGCGTCGGTGGTCGGCATGCGTCAGATCCTTACCATTAAGGTACTGTCAACAATGCGAGCAAGCTGCAAACCTACGTATTCGGCCTCCCAGAAATGGGACGAAGATGAGACGGCCAGCTCGTTGGTTAACTCTGCTGTACTCGACCGAATGCTCTGGACTGTCATTACTGACTGCCATCGCCTTGGCCAGAAGTCAGTTGGCTGGACGTTAGTCAGGCAATGGCCAGCCGTGTGGCAGCAGACGCGCTCTGATTAGGTGTTCATGAGTCCTGCCTGCGTTGTCGCATTGAGAGCCGGGAAAGCATCAAGCCGACCTCCAATTTCCACGTCTCAACCATGATCCATGGGACGAGAAAAGGCCATGCGTCAAACGCCTGCGCCTGCGAGATTCACACACTGGATCCAGTGATCCATCAACCAGCACGGTCCGGCAAGGGCCACTGAGATTTATGGGACCAAAAGGGACTCTGGACTGCGGGCTGTGGACTGTGATTGTGGATGGTGGACTGAGGTTTGGAAGTCGCAAGTGACAGTAATTCCAAAGATTGTCTCACTCCATCACATCCCGATTCATGCCTCCTTCTTTTTTCCACAGTCTTCATCCCGCCTGCCGTTTCGGCCCGCCCGCCCAAGGCACCTTACACAAATTACATGCCCTTCCTCCACGCCTGAGGCACCATCCAATATCCAGGCCGCCCAACACGAGGGGACCCTTCCGGCCGGGGGACCACGGGACCGACCCTTAAGCGAGAGGACCAGGAACGGGAAAAAGAAGATTCCGATGCACGGGCCATTTCCTGACACTGCCGTTGCAGGTTCCCCCCAGCTCCATCGGCTCCTCTGATATGCTGCAAGTCCAACTGCAAGCTTCACACCCCCTTCATATTCCTCGGCCACTTTTACCTGCAGGAAACACCCCCAAACCCCGTGTGCCTGCAGGAATAGTCCCTGGATCGATGCCACACCTTTCGGCCACCACGCCCGTCTCTTTGCTCGTTTCCTCTGCTTCCGTCGGGACTTGCCAGGCCACTGGCGTCCCCAAAAATACAGCGCCCAACATCCGTCTGCCGAAGGCTTGGCCTCCGTCGCTAGCGTCTTTTACGATTCAATCGCCAGCTCCGCAACCACTGCGAGCCATACACATCATCGCTCCTCATGTGAAGCCATGCGAAGGGCACTCGTCGACGACTTGCAGTTACGAGGTGGTGCTGGCGAACTTGTGCCCTGCTTTTCTCCAATGGACTGCATCTTGACTGCGCCAGATGGCGTGTCAACGGTCACCGGATCCTATCTAAATCTGCGAGTCTCAGCCAAACGGTTTTCTTTTCCGATGCCTCACGCACTTACACCGGCTTGCCGGCCTCATCGACCCAGCAATCGTCAATTCACCGGCAGAACCACAGAATCAGCCAGATAAGAAACCTGATGCAGGTCTGGCAGCCCAGCCTTCCGTGTCTCGGCTCTTGCTGTCTTGCTTAAACACCTTACGTCCGTTTTTCCCAAGCCACTGGTCGGATTGGTGCAGATCTACTGGTCATACAGAAGCAAACGAGACCAGGAACAAAAAGTTGGAAAACAGCCAGCAAACGACATCCACTATGGCTCGAAAACTCCCTTGATCTCTATCAAGCCGTTTTGCCCTTGTGTTTCGTCTTCGGGAACATCTTGTCTCTATCCTTGTTGACCTTGATAATAGCCTCCCTTGCGCCAGGCCACGTTCTTCTCTTTCCCGTCTCGAAGAGACGATACATATGCGGCGAATACGCCCCCCAAGCTACGAGCCGGTAAAAGTCCCTGTCCTGCCACCAGAACTGCCATCCCTTCCGTCCCCAGCCAAGGTATTCGTACATACCAGTGCCCGCCATCTCGTGCACGAACCTCATCCATGAGTGCTGTCTACCGGTTCCAGTGGGAGCCCCCGAGAAGGCGCGAACTTTCTTCCAGATCCATCGCTGGTACATGGCAAGGTTCCGGCGCATCTCGGCCGCGGGAGGTAAAGACGAGTTGCCCGCCCATACCTGCGCGATGGCCATCGACTGGAGCTCCCGGTACGACGCTGCGTTATCGTTCACGGTACAGTAGCTCACGCAGGCGAGCGAGTCCGGGTATTCCACGGCGAATATGTTCTGGTACAGATTCGGGAGCGCCGGGTGATTTGGGTCCGACATTGTGTTATGAGACAGGTCCGGCACCAGCGAGAAGTCCGGACGGTACCCGGTAGCCGCGATGATGACGTCCACGTCTTGGATGATTTTGCCGTCGTCCAGCTCGACTGCGTGCGGGCCTGCGATTCGTCTCACACCCCGTACAGAGTGTACGCTCCCGTCTCGGAGTCTCGAGAAAAGTTCGTCGTTCACGACGATAGCGTTGAAGCTGATTCCGAGACTGGGAGACGGCTCGAAGCCCCAGTCCGGGTCCTGCTCGCCAAGTGCTTGGACGTTCTTCTTGACGACAGATTCACCGAGTAGACCGAAGATGGTCGGAAAGTAGTGCTCCAGCCAGAAACCGAGACGAGAAGTTCTCCAAGACATGACAGCGTCTATGGGTCCGTCTGCGTTCATGCGCGGGATGATTTTCGCGCCTCTCCTGTGAGATAGGTAAACTCTGGACGCATGGTCCGCTAGTTCCTGATCAAATCAGCTTAAAGATTTCAACCTCAGACAATAGGCGGGCTCACTACGACGACGTCACAAGCAGTGTTTCCCACGCCTATCACCACCGCCGTCTTCCCTTTCATACCCTCGGGCCTATGCGTATCGTTAACACGGACCGCTGGTTATTATATCTGCGTACTTACCCCTTATAGGCCTGGGAATGCGTGAATTGCCCTCGAAACTGGTCCAAGTTTTCGATGTCTGGATACACGGGTGTCGTTTCCGAGCCGCTCGCGAGCACGATCTTGTCAAATGTTCGCGCCTCCTCGCCTGCCACGTGGACAAGCCATTTGCCTCTATTGTGGTCTCTTTGAATCAACTCTACAGTAGCGTTGAAAACAATGTTGTTGTATAATTCAAAGTGCTTTGCGTACGCCTTGTAATATTCTGACCATTCTTCTGCCGAGATATGTGCGGGATAATCTGCTCAGTCATGAGTCTCGAGAGCAGATCTGACTTCCCGACCATGACTTACGATCAGGAAATGGGAAATCCGACATTGATGACTAGTTTTCTCATCATAAGCAGCCCGTTCTGTCAGCAATACCCCTTTACTTACAATGAACTTGCTTATCTGTGATTTGGTCCCTATGCTCTCGTCAAACTTTGCCATCTCCAGACACGGCGACAACTTACATGGCATGGCGGAAGTAAGGGAGGGATCGTCCGAAAAGGTCCAGAGACCGCCCACGTCAGATCGCCGTTCGAACAGCGTGACGTCGAACCCGACTTCACGGAGTTCCTTGAGGGCGGAGAGACCACCCGGTCCTGTATAGACATATTAGCCGCACCGCGCAGTTCTCATGAGGGACTCGGGGCTCACCGGCGCCAATGACGGCGACTTTGGCTGCAGGCGCAATCATTGTCGAAGGCAGCTGCAATTCCTCAGTGATCGATATAACATGGAGGAAAAGCGATAGGCTGTGTTACGCACTGCTAATATGAAGAACGTTATCTCGCTGTTAGGTCGTTATGACTTTTTGAGTCAATGTGTCAACACTCTTGTTGTGGCAACTTGGGGTTAGTTGGAGACTATTAGTAGATCCCGTAACCGGGTTCCGGGCTTTCATAGAACAGACTCTCGGCGTCTTGCCATGAGATAGCGGCAGAGTGCCCGGAAGCTAGCGACAATTGCCGACGAGTATATGGAGGGTGTTATTTCGGCAGAGTTGAACAAGGGTGATGATTGCGCCGAAGCTTTGGACGATAACATCGCATGGGCTGATTTAAGGCTTTCATTTCAATTTTGTGGTGAATAAACCTTCATCAAATTCAACAGGGGAAGTTTAGAGGGCCTCTGAGTGGTTCTCACATCTCATCACGATAAGAGGACATGTGCGTACTGAATCAAAATGCTTTTGCCAGCTTGCACCTGATGAGATTTCTCTTCTAGCTACATTAGCCAGTATTGACGGCTCGGATTTGAATGCAGGGTCCTGGACCTAGTGCCGAGCCCTTATCTAACTCTCTCGAAGCTGTATAAAGAAACTCGATGCAGAAATCTGATGTGCCGCAAGTTCCAGTTCATCCGATTGGGAGACTCTTCTCTACATCTCCCTGCCCACGAATTGCGACTTTACAGGCACATCCACATTCACATTAAGTTGTGGTAGGCACCCTTTCCCAAGGATCTACGAGCTTCAACGAGAACAAAAAGCCCCGCTGACTCCTCCCTATAACCAGGCATGAAGTCGTTTGAGCTTTCCACATTGTTCTAGACTCACGCAGTTCCATGGTGAAGGTGACAATCTCCGTCCGTCATAGTCACATGGGAGGGCGGCACAGGCCGGGGCGACAGGTGCTGGCGCCACAAGACGGCCAGAGCGGGCCCGTGCTCAGCGGAGTGCACAGATCCGCCAACGCAATTGGCGAATTGCAGCCCGCCCGGAGCTTTCTCAACGGCCGGTGGAGATTTGCGATCATAGACCGCGACCTCGGACTTGGCGCGATTCGACGACCAAATGCAGGTACCGTCTTAATTCGTCCCATCAACGGCCCGCACGTCAAAACCCCTTGCTTGTCCCTGCTCTTGGTCCACCGATTCCAATCATGCCTCAATGATGTCAACAGCAGACCAGGGTCAGCAGAGAAGTTGTTGAGTTCACTCGCCGCCTTTGCGCCTTCGTCGCCTGCCTTGGCCCTTTTTCTTGAACCTCATTCCCGCGCTCAATTTTCAAAACGTTCACCCAACGCTCAAGGAAACCATGAGGACGGCATCGCCGGGACCGTAACATCTCACCGGGATTGGCAGACCAGAAACAAACACACCAAAAACCAAAAATCCCCCACGCCACTGCTGATCGCGACACCCACCGTTAGGCCGAACCGGCCAGTCATGTCCCGGAGTTCCAGCCTCAATCCAACGGACCCAAGATCGCTGCTAAGATGAGGTTATTCGCGGCGTATTCCCGCCACTCTGCGCTGCTCCTCCGCCGGGGCAGCAGCGGCGTCGTCGCGAGGTCGACGAGGAGCATTCACAACGTCACGGTCGGCCGCATCAGGACACATGGCCTCCTCGCCCGGCGCAGGCCGACACTTCCGCGGCAGCCGCAGCAGCACGGCTTCTTCACCTCCAGCGACAAAGGCTCGGAACCCGACAGCAAGAAGACGACTTCGTTCCCCGTCGCGGTAATTACAGGCGGTTTATTCATGTGGTGGCTGTATCCGTCTGACGACTTTCAGCGGTTGAACCTCGTTCCTACGGATCCGAAGAACGCGCCGAACGGCGTCCCCGAGGAGGACGGAAAGAGCAAAGGCGCCGACGAGACGGCGTGGTATAACTTCGCGCTCAAATTTGAGAGCCTGTCCGATGCTACCGATGTCGAGTGGAGTGCCGACAAGATTGTCGGCTTCATCCTGCCGGAATGGTCCAAGTTCGTTCCCGGGTACATCCGGAAACTCCAGAGAGAGGTGAGTGTTGTCCTTTGCAAGAAGTATTGAAGCAGTAAGACTGATTCTTTCCAGCTGTCCATGTCTCCTGGGTCTCTCGCCGACGAGATCTGGCAGGAGGCTCATGATCCGTTCATCAACCCAGAAGTGCAGTACGCTGCTCAGGTCAGGGTGTCCAACGAACTTTGCGACGAGGAGAAGGAATTCTTATCCAGGAGGAAGAGGGTTACGACCATGGCCCTCGCCAAGTACCTCGACATTGACGAGAAGGATGTCCACCCAGAAGACGTCCCGACCATCGCCATGTGCGGCTCCGGAGGTGGTTTGAGAGCTCTGGTTGCGGGCACCGGCTCTATGCTCGCTGCCGACGAGGACGGCCTCTTTGACTGTATTACTTACACCTCCGGAGTCAGCGGCTCATGCTGGCTGCAGACTCTATACCATTCATCTATATCAGAGGGCAGCCTTGGCCGAGTCCTACAGCATTTGAAGGCTCGCGCAGGGGTGCACATCGCATACCCGCCGGTCGCTTTCCAGACTTTGCTCTCTGCACCAACCAGCAAGTATCTTCTCAGCGGTCTGGTTGAAAAGCTTAAAGGTGACCCGAACAGCCAATTTGGACTGGTCGATGTGTACGGTCTACTCTTGGCAGCCAGATACTTGGTCCCGAAAGGCGACTTGGAAGTGAATGACCGAGACTTCAAGCTATCCAACCAGCAGAAGTACATTAAGTACGGCCAAAACCCATTGCCGATTTACACAGCCGTCCGCCATGAGATTCCCGACGTGGACGTTGATGGAACCGAGGGCGTTCCGTCCACTTCGGAAGCAGCCAAGGAGATCGCCAAGCAGGAAGCCTGGTTCCAGTGGTTCGAGATCACGCCCTACGAGTTCTTCTGCGAGGAGTTCTCTGCCGGTATTCCTACCTGGGCGATGGGTCGACGTTTCAACAACGGTGTCGATGTCCCGCCCGAGGAGGGTTTTCACCTGCCCGAGACTCGTATGCCGTTCCTTTTGGGCGTTTTCGGCAGTGCCTTCTGCGCAACCCTCAGCCACTACTATCACGAAATCAGACCGCTCGTGCAGAGCTTGACAGGCTTCGGTACTCTGGACGAAATGATCTCTGGCTACAACGACGATCTGAGCAAAGTCCATCCCATCGATCCTGGCACTGTAGCCAACTTTGCGTACGGAATGGACGGCAAGCTGCCAAAGACGACACCCAAGAGCGTCCTCAATACGGAGTACATCCAGCTCATGGACGCCGGAATGTCCAACAATCTCCCGATCTACCCCCTCCTGCGACCCGGCAGAGACGTCGATGTCATCGTTGCCTTCGACGCCTCGGCAGACATCAAAACAGACAACTGGCTCGCGGTCGCTGACGGATACGCTCGCCAGCGCGGAATCAAAGGATGGCCAGTGGGCGTCGGCTGGCCCAAGGCAGGAGAATCCTCCAAGCAGGTCAGCGAGGAACTCAAGGAAGCCGAGGCCGCGAGCTCGCGCGAGGCGGACCAGAAGCTTCACGAGGCCCAGCAGCACCAGATCGAGCACCAAGCCGAGGAGGACAAACCGCGGCCTGACGATAACACGAAGAAGGGCCAGGCCGCCAAGTTCACGCCCGGAGACGAGGAGTCTGGCGAGCTGGGCTACTGCACCGTCTGGGTGGGAACCACGCAGGAGCGCTCTTCGGAGCCTTCGCCCCCGTCCAAGGCCCTCGACCAGTCGACCCACTGGCAACTCACGGAGCCCGACGCCGGCATCGCCATCGTCTACCTGCCATACCTGGCGAACCCCAAGGTCCCCGGCATCAACCCGGGAACGACCGATTACCTGAGCACGTGGAACTTCGTGTACACGCCGGAGCAGATCGACAATGTCGTCGCGCTGGCGCGGGCCAACTACGCCGAGGGGCGGGAGCAGATACGCGGCACCGTCAGGGCCGTCTACGAGCGCAAGAGGAAGCTTAGGCTGGAGAGGGAGGCGAAGGCGAAGAAGGATCGGTACAGGAGGCTGGTGCAGAGGGGGATGGCGCACAAGCTTGGGGAGGGCGATCAGTTTAGCTGAGTTGTCTTGATGGAGTTTTTGGGGAAGTGATACCCGGGAAAGAGAGGGAATTTGTATAAAGGCGTACGCATGCTGATATTGTACAGCACGGTAGATGTTCCAACTAGTAATTTAGAACTGATTGCCCCTTACTGGAGTACTTGATATTGCATCTTGAAATCCCGTAAATCTTATCCTTACTATTAACTAGTATGAGTTGTTCGAGGTAGTGGGTGTCTCCCCTCTCCTTAGAGCGATTTGCATCGTGTCTTGACCCTCTAGAACCACAATATTAACCAGATGCCAACGTATCTATCAGTTTGGACTTGAAATTGCCCCGTCTCGAGGAGTGTGTCATTGTTTTTACAGATCTATTCATCTTACAGAGACATGAGTAACCATCCACACGTCCTTGTTCAAAAATGTACACTGCCAAACGGCATTGGGTTTCCCGGGATCATCATCCGTCACCCGGCGGCTCTCAACCACCACCATCCTCATACCTCATCTTGCAATTATACATGATGCAGTTTTTTCTCTTCCCGTTTTCCCATGACAAAAAACACCTTCTCCCTCCCACTAGACTCCCGTTTAGATGACCTCGCCCATGTCGACGTGCACAGGTTGCCACGGCTTCGCCCCCTCCACCAACATATCGCTCGGCACCCGCACGTTGTTGCCCGGGCTGTACAGGTACCACGCCTTCAGCGCGTTCATCGAGGCCTGCAGACGGGCCACGTCCAGGCTGGCGCCGGTCCCCTCGCCGAGCTTATCGCTGCCGCTGTAGATGCCCACGACGTACACGGGGGTCCTACTCCGGCGACCGGTCTCGACCTCGAGGCGCGCGACGGGCGCGTCGAAGCCCTCGCGGGCGCACAGCATGGCTAGCTCCCGCGTCGGGAGCTTGAAGCTGAAGATCTTCTCCAGGTCGACCTGGCGGCTGAGGACGTGGGCGTCGACGAAGGTGCGGACGGCCTCGCGGCCGCAGTGGGCGTAGATGGCGCCCGCGACGGCCCGCACGAAGGCCGCGTGCGCGTTGTTGCGGAGCTTCATGTACCGCTCGCGGATCAGCGCCGGGTCGGCCTCCTCGGGCGGCGGCCCGTCCTTGGGGTTGGGCTCCGGGGTGTGCAGGACGTCGCCGAACTCGTCGTCGAGGACGACACGCGAGGACATGCCGCGGCGCCACTTGAACTTGTCGAGGTGGCGGTGCTCCTTGCGGACGTAGCCCCAGCGGCCGTGGACGATGCCCGCGGCCGGGTCCTGCGACCACTGCAGCAGACCCGGGTCGACTTCCTCGCCGGGGTGGACGGTGGCCTCGACACCCCAGCCGTGGGCGATTCGGTAGAGGGAGTCGGAGCCGGAGTAGGCGCGCATGGCCTCGTAGAGGACGCCCATGGGCAGGCGCGGGTAGCGGCAGATGAGCTGCTCGGAGGTGTGGTAGGTGAGGAGGGAGCCGCCGAGGACGGCGAGGTTGGCGTTGTTGAAGTTGGGGTGAGGGTCGGCCGTGGGGTCGACTAGGCAGCGGGCGAGGGTCTGGAGGGGGACCTTCTCGGGGAGGGAGAGGCGGGCGTGGAGGGCGGCGAGCTTCGCCGAGGAGAGGGCCTGCTCGGGGAGGGGTGACGGGATTGTTTTCGGCCTGGACGGAGCATCTTCGAGGTCGGCGGCTTCGTCGTCGGGGAGGGAGGAGGTCGCTTCCGCGGTGTCGGTGGCGGAGTCTTTGGGAGGGAACGTGAATACTGAGCGCACACAGGTCCTGCGGGGGTCCTGGGCGAGTTGCTGTGTTCTAAAGGGGATGGGCGTCAGGGACGGCGAGGCGTGTGTCCTGGCCTGGGCGTTGAGCAGCTGCCCGGTGCATCTTGATATCCTTAACCTCTTCATCGGGGCGGCGGGCCGTCTTTTTTTTTTTTCTGGGGTGAGAGGTTTTGGGTTGTCGCCGGCTGGATCGAAGAACACTGGAAAAGGAAAACGGGATTCGGTTGGTGTTGTACAGAATTGGTGGCGGCCGAGCAATTGACTTGCTGGGTCTCGTTGGATCGCAGAGACAGAGAGAAAAGTTCCACGTCCCTTCTCTCAGCGCCAGTCTCCCGTCACGAAAAAGTTTCTGGATCGCCCCGACTGGAGTCGTGTGAGCTCCAATGCTGGTGCACGAGCCACATAGGCCGTGGTGTTAGCGGAACATCCGCGCTCCGGGCCTCCGGGCGGTGCGGGATCCACTGTAGATGAACGGTCGAATGGCGTACCGCAGATTACAACGTCAAGCCGGTCGTCGAAAAGCTCCAAACCTGTCCGAGGCGGGAAAGCGCATTGCCATCACCCACAACCATCCAGTCTCTCTCGATAAGCCAGTCAAGATGGTGAGTTTCTTGCGGTCAATTGATATTCGGGGCGCGCTCAATTGCTAACCTGCTGTGTGTCTAGGGAGGTGGCCCCAAAGTTCCGTGAGTTCTAACCCACCCTCGAAGCCAGCCCAAGCCCGCGACCGAACCCCCTCGAAACCGAAGCGTCCCTCTGACATTACGTCCGAATTGAAGGTACCCCAAGCACGTCTGGTCGCCGGCCGGTGGCTGGTACGCCCAGCCCGCGAACTGGAAGCTGAACACGGCCATCATCGGCTCCGTCATGCTCGGCACCGTCGCCATTATCTGGAGGATTAGCGCCGAGAAGGAGGTGCGCTACGTCATGCCTCGGGAGGGCAGCTTCTTTCCCAGCAGATAGTATGTTACAGTCTTGTGAAATGATGGGAAGGGAAAGCTAACATGTGGGGGTGCAGCTGGTCGAAGCAATTGATCGAGTACGACCGAGAACAGGCGGCGAAGAAGGCGAAGGAGACGGCGCAGTCGGAGGCTATTCAGAACTCATAAACGGATCGGGCGGGGAAAACTGTACTTGTAAATATGGTACTCAACGAATTGAGAGCCGTTTGATTGCGGCAATTGCGAACGACACCAAAGCGGATCTTGTAAACCCCCGCTACAGAATGTTGTGGCACAGCGCATCTGTTCTGCCAGAGCTAGGACACAACGCTGCGAACGGAGAGGGTTCAGACATACATCTAGGTGTCAAGTAAGATGATCACAAGATAGCCAGACCACATCCTAAGATATGATTAACTAACACACCCTAATGGAGAACTCATGTATCGATCTGCTTTGAATTGCATATGTAGGCCGGATATCTATTGATCCGTGCTTCTGTGTCTTTTCCATTGCCATGGCACAATGTCCATGTGTGGCATCCGAATGAAAGCTTCCCATTTCCGGTCGTGCGTTCTCTCACTCCCTGTCCCATTTGAACGTTGCTTCTTCACTCAATTTTTTAACTCGTCCCAGTAGGAGAAGGGAATTTCGATGAGAAGATCAGCGCTGAAATTGGCAGTCTGCCTGATCAGATCACGGAATCCGTCAATCCTCATGTACCACGGCATGTCGATAACGCACATCTGAACGACTAGTGCGCGAAGCTCGTTGTTCGGACATGTTTCTTGATACACAGTCCTGATGATGGATATGAAGGCCTTAGTGCGTTCTTGGGTTCCAGGGCAATACAGCCAGCTTTTACGAAGTCTGTGTATGCAGAGATCACTGAGTTCCTTCATACAGTGCTTCTGGGCAAGAAGGCAAAGCCTGACGTGCGTCATCAGAACTGGTAAGTAGCCCGTATGGCCACGTTGTTTGATGTCGTTGAGCCATGCATCTTCCGAGGGACTGGGCGCGTTGGTCTTGGTTCGTGAACCAGTCTTCTCTCCGGAAGTGTCGGTGAAGTGTTTCTGGATGTACTTGTATTGGGCACCTTTTTGTGAACAGCACTCCATGTAATCTTGCAAACACCCGGCAAGTTCATCTTCTCCGTCGGTCTCATCTTCTCTGTCGGTCTCATCGCTCTCAGCGCTCTCATCGCTGTCGTCACCGTTGCTGCTCTCAGCCTTGACGTTATCGACCTTCTCTTGGTGGTTATTCGCAGCCGGGGCAATCTTCGAAATCTTTGTAACTGCTGGCACGGTGTAATCTTTCCAGTAGGCCTACTCAATCAGGTTGACAAAGGTATCAGGTTCGACATCCTCCCAATAGATGGATGGGTCGTTGGCAAGACCGGCGAAGTTCGACTTAAGCTTCTCAGACAGAGCGGCGAAGGAAGACTCGTGAACAGAGTACTCGATTTTCTCTGGACCAATAAAAAACTTGATCTGTCTCGACTGGAACATCCTATTCAGCTGTCAGTTTGAACTGAAGCGCAAGCAAGGCTGAACTTACTGCTCCGTATCTCTCTTTCGCTTTAGAGGCATCGTGACCGGAAGACGGAACACAAGAAGTTCCTGTGGATGCGATGGCAGGGACGGTGAAGGGTAAATGCCCGGAAGCGAAGGGCAGCGGTGGTGGAAGGAAAAACCCTCGGTGAGGCGTAGGAAGGAGAGAGAAAACAAAACCCTTTTTCCAGAGAAAAAAACAAGTCTAGTGAAGACGTCGATTTTTCTCTTTCTTTCTTCTTTGGGAAGGAACCAAGCGTCTTCAGAAGAATTGGTTTGTGGTTGCCCTCGCGCCAGCCTCAAAGCTCACTCCACTGGCCTGTACTCTTCAACACTTGGAAAAGGTGACTTGGACGACTTTCACATATCTCACGGCTGATGTCGACATTTTAGAGACCATTAATCATCGAATGGGTGATCAGTGCGACTTTCTCTGTAGCAATACGAGCAAGAGACTACCTTACGCTCTCCATCCCGTCTCCTCTGCACTGCACACCAGCAGTCAGCACACACTGCACGCATCACCAACACATCACCAATCGAAAGGCACCCGCCAGAAAAGGTCGGAAATACCTCATGAGTCACGAATTTGAATTCTTCTTACCGGGATTTCTTTTGACTGGATCTGATTGCGAGCAAAGATCCAAGGGAGTAAGCTGTGCTACCACATCCCTCCGTCAGCTTGGCTGCTCCTGCCTCCACTCAAAACGTCCGAGTGTCTCAACCTGCCAAACTCAAACCTGACGACTTCCGGTTGCTTCTACAAACCACAGTCATCAGCACACTTGCTTCTGGAGATTACAGTCATCGTCATCAGTCAAGTCATCAAGACACCTATATAGAGCAAGACCGAACGAACTTCGCAATCCTCCCGATCACTGGTGAGATAGCGCTAAGGGCACGCAATATCGGCGAATGAAGATGGCTGGCACTGCTGGCAGAACAATCCAAGATACTGAGATGTATGTCGCTTTCGCCTACCGATTCGAGACTTTGCATGACGCTTTCGGCTCACAGAGATTGCAGGATATACACCTCTCGGATCTTCAAGTTCGTCATAGGACAAGAGGGAAAAGAATTCTACGTTCACGAAGGTCTTGTCGCGCCATGGTCCGAAGCCATCAACCGGATGTTGCAAAATGGCATGCGCGAGTCGCAAGAGGGCGTCGTGGTTTTTAAAGACCTCGACACGGTCGTTTTCGCGAGCTTCCTCGACTTCGCTACCTACCGCAACTACAAGTTCCAGAGATCGCAGGATCCAAAGATACCTCAAGTCGACCATCGAAGCCCGGAAAAAAGGTGCGACTCCCTTCGCGACCATCTCGTTCCTTATCAGGGAACGGGAATGATGGACAAGAGACCATATCTGAAGTATATGTACTTGTTCGTGGAGAGCAGCCACACAGGACGTATCTACGGCCCTGCATCGGGTCCAGCGGAGCTGAATCCGCCCTTCGACGTTGAATTGGATTTGTCAATATCGAACCGGGAGTTTGGAGAAGTCACTCGACATCACGTCAAGCTTTACGCATTTGCAGAGCAATGGGGCGTGTCCGAGCTGAAGCAGCTGTGCCTGCACAAGATTCACAGCTGCCTAACCTGGGTCAAGCTGAGCAACAGCGGGTATAACCTCTTATTCGACATCATTAACCTCGCATATTCCAGCACTATGCCTGGAGACAAGCTGCGGAAGCTTCTTAATCAGATGTGCGTGGCCGACATCACCATGATCCGTGGCATGCCCGGATTCTCGAGACTAGCACATGACCTACCTGAAATTGCCGTGGACATTCTGCTCGAGGAACCCAAGTACTGGGAAGAGAAGGCGAAAGCACTGGAAGATGTCATCGGAAAGTTTCGACCCCCCATAGTCGAGAAAGAGATGAAGGGGAAAAATGAGTCTTGGTGGTGAGAAACGTGGGCAGAGCGATTCGGGCAACTTACTGGTATCGCGTAGGGCAAAAGCACGGGCGGCATCGACGTTTGCAGGCAAAAATTGGCAAGGCATCAAACGGGACCATTTGGGAATATGTATGGAGGGGGCTTTTCGTCTATGATCATATGGAGTTATTTGCTTGCATTTGCGTTTAGCTTTTCTGCCAAAATGGAATGAAGTTTGAGAATTCTCATCCAATCGATCGCCAATGAAGTTGTCACAAGGCATCGTAATCTCTTCGGCTGACCGTGGCGTTTGAGCAAGTCGTTCCACCCCTTGTCGCACTTGGGACCCTGAAGCATCCGTTTGGGCACGGCGCGCTGGCGTTGTACTGCCATGAGAACAAAGGGTCCGTCTCGTTTGTCAGAATCTGACCGATCATCGAGGTCTGGTATCCTGGGAGTTGGCGGGATTGCTGGAAGACATCGTACTCGAAACTTGTCAGCAAACTCCGAGAAAACCGACAATGCTCTATGACAACTTACACTGCCGAGGGTCATCACGCCCCAACCGACGTTGTAGTTGTGCTGGATCGTCGTGCCGTAGACATACTCTGCAGCGCTTGTCAGTTTCCAGACCCGGAATGCTCTGTGTTCCGACACTGACCTTTGAACCCAGCCCATCGAATGGCACTCGCGCACTGCTTGCTGTAAGTCAATCAACTCAGTTACGAGACTGGTAACATACCATTGGACATGACTCGGCATTCGTGTAGATTGAGAGCTCTCCCCAAGCAGCGTAAATCTCTCTGTGGAGCTGTTAGTCCAGGATTGTTGGTGCGTATGGCCTGAGATGCTTACGAGGCCGTCATGCCTTCCTCAGTAAACTTGGCAGTGCACGCGTTGATAGCTGAGATCTCTCCGTGAACTGCGGTCGTATCAGCGCAGGAACATCATTTAAGACCGGGTGCAAAAAGCATACTTGTCGGGTCTCCTGTCCTGAAGTTGGCACCCTCACATACGACTTCATCGCTCGTGTGGTTGACGATGATCGTCCCGAACGCAGCGAAAGGACAACTGGTAACGTAAGTCAGCCACAAAATGTCTCCTTGTTGTAAAGATAGAGTTGCTGAGCGATCATCTCAGAATCCAGCGAAGGCGAGCTGTCTTGGATGCTGCTCTTGTGCTCTCCCCATTGGCGCTCATACAGATGTTCTGAACGACACCTCCCAACACTACAAAGGAATGAAACTTACGGACCGCTCTGCCGGTAGAGAGCTTCGTTGGCCTGAATCTCGATCAGCGCTCGTCAAGCTTTGGGTGCAGGTTGAAGCGAACCTTTCTCATGTATTCAACTCGTTTCTCCGCCGGAATGGAGTTGACCGTCAGACCAGACATGTTCTGGTCATCGTTTGGGATCACGAAGTGAGCCGAGCTAAAGCCCACGGCACTCAGAACCAACAAAGCAACTGATCGGAGCATGGTAGTGTTCTCGCAATTTGACTTGTCACTCAGGTATCGTAGAAAAGCAAAACACAAAAAGCATAAAACCTTGGCTTAAATATCATGTACTGCGGCGGTCTCTGTATTTCTTATAACCTCCATCGGCGTTGACTTGTGTGACTTAAATCCCGCGAGACCTGAAGATAAGAACGGCCGGATTGGGCATGTGGAGCACAACCCAGCCTCCCGGGACCTACGGAGTCCCACAATACCGGCGGAGGGAAGCTATCGCCATGTGCCTCCCCGCAGTTGTGGGGAGCGGGAGTCGTTAGCGTCTTCTTCTTATCATTTGATCGTTTATGCGGTGAATATTGGCTAGATTGGCTGCGGGTGTGAGGCTGTTGGGGCCGCGGGGAAAGATAAGATATCGGCCACGTCTCCTTGAGGGGGCGGTGCCTGCCAAGATGACCCGAGAATAAAGATCCTAGCTATGGAATAGAGACTTCGTTCGAGACCCAGTTCAACAACACGCCGTAGACAGCTGGAGCGCAAGCACTTTTGCAGGATACATTTTGAGCAATGACTGCTCAAATGCAGTCGTAGTCATGCCCCTATTGTATGAAATGGACGGGCCGAAGACCAGTGAGACGGAAGTTTTTAAAAAGTACAACACGCTGAAGTTCAAGAATTCCCTTACCTGAAAGCTCGAAGAAAGGGCCAATGGGAAGAGAACACATGATCATGCCAGCTTCCACGTCTCAAAAATAAGATTGCTATCCATTCATATCTACGTCTGTCCCAGACTGGCCTGTTCTGTCTGAGCTATGGATGCTCCATTTTCTCTGAGTCTGGCTGCCGCAAGACCCTCCATAAACATATTTCTTTCGCTTGATCACCATGCTTCCTCCCGAATTGCTTGCATCTGAAACCCATCCTCCCGGCTTCCGCTCACATCTTCTCGTAAGTGGTGTTGTAGTGTAAGTTGGATTTTGCTCGCGCCGACGCTCGTTTTGAAATTTCATGCTCCCGAGGAAGAACCGCACTGCATGACGTGATGTTCAAGCTTGCCATTGAGAGTGCAAGCCTCCTGGTAAGCGTTCGATGAATTCGAGCCCAAATCTTGCATCGCCCATGATAAGTTCACTGAATTCAGGGTACGTTCTCAAGTTAGGAAACTCTATGACAAAGAAGTCCAATAGAATTCCCCGGATATGTTCCATATTTTGCTCTCGAACAAAAGCGACCACCTTGAACAAGTCATCGATTGCGACCTCATGATGCGGGAAGAAGAGGAGGCTCTTCATGAGTCTCTCTTCGCAGAGATTCTCAAGACTGCGAATGCGAAAATCTTCGGCCAGCTGGTAGAGCTTGATGTGGCACAGGAAGACTTCGTTGTGTCCAACGCGATCCGTCTGCTTGATGTCGTCGATGAAAGCCACAGATGCCGATTGATTGGGATGGGAAAAAGGCTTCATTGCTTCCTCTTGGAACTGCTTTCCTAGCTCAAAGAAGAAGGAAGCAATGTTCGGGCACTGGTCTCCTCTAATCGCTAGACGAGAGTCCAGACAATGCATTTCATGATTCAACGAAGCCTTGTCGTCGAGTTTCTGGAGTGCAGGCACCGAGTAGTCGCCTCGGTACGCGTACTCCATGAGCCTGACGAAGACATCCTCGTCGACGACATCCCAAGTGACGGTGTCAGACAGCTTGGGAGACTCGATCTGGGGCATTCCGGTATGATGGCCACGGTGTCGCTTGTGAAAGTCCAGGTAATAGGCGAAGCTCCCATCCGGACAAATCCTATCAAGAGCAGCCTCAGAGATCGTGTAGCAAGTGCCTTTGTTGCCGACAATGAATTTGATGTGTCTCGAAGTAAAGACCCTATGGTGTTGGTCAGAAATATGACACAGTAAGAACGGCAGAGACGGATCATACCGCTGCATGTGGGTGGCTGTCAGAGAGGCCATTGCGAATCTCCACTGCTGCACCCCGACGTCGGCAGTGATTTTAGGCGGTATGAATTTGCTGAATGCTTCGGGGTAGGAAGAAGATGCAAAGGCCGACCGTTGATTCAGCAGGCGCAGTCAGGCGCAGTGTTGAGGTTGTGATGGTGAGATGATGAGAGGAAAGAGTGGTTGAGCTGAGAAGATTTCTTAGGCACCTAGGTAGTGAAATACGGGAGGCTGATCCCGACTCCGAATTCAAACAGGAAGGACCCCAAAGATTCGTGTCGTACTTTACTTTTGTGAGAAGGAGAAAAGTAAACAGACAGTAAGAAAAATTGCCAAAAGACAGGCTAGTCCGATCTGAGTTCCTTCCACGGAAGGAGAGAAGGACAAATAGTCTGTGTCGCCTTGAACCTTTAGCTCGAGAGGTTTGCTTCAGTGTGCTAATGGGATGGGACGTAGCAAAGTATTACAGCTGGAGGTGAATTTGAGAAGGCAATTCAACGACCTGTTTGTTGGTTCATCTTCACTTGTTCACCCGTGTCAAAAGATTCTTCCATTATTGACCCTCTCGTGAGTAATCTTATACTCGCTCAAGTGTAAGTAAAAGAACCTTTTAGCTCTTGAGATCATTTCAACATGCAAGCAGATAGCACAGCGCAACATCATATCAAATATGCTTAAATAGCAGACAACTAAGCTGACCGTCAACATCGTATCCCGGGCATCCTCAAGCTCCGGCAGCCGGCTGAATACCAATCAAGTGCAACCAAAACTAAGTTCTATTGATGGCCTTCACCGCGGGATTGCAGGCTGCGGCTTTGTTCAAGCCTGCAGAATGTTAATTATGTATCTAAACAAATCTAATTGAAGACAACTTCAGCACTCTACTGAGAGTCTTTTTGAAGACCATGATTTAGAAGCTAAAAGCAGTAAAGAGACGTTCCAATGTGTGAAGCGCTTCCATGTCCTCTGTGAGATACTTGTGAAGCAGCAGCTCCCATAACATTATTGAAGTCAGTTGGGACTCCAAAATCCAGCCTGATTTCGCTGTTTGCAGACTCGATAAGAGCAGCACAGGGCAATGGGTTAAAAACTCTGTCATAGCGCATTTCAGCCCTGCCTGACTTGACGGTGTTTATCAGCTGGTAGGTGCTTGACTTCGGCCTAAGACTCGCGTCCTCGAGTCGCGAGTCCAAACGCCGCTTGAATTGACAGCCCAAAAGCTTCTTTTTGAGTCATATGTATGAGATCGCAGGTACGTGCGTTGGGACTTTGCATTGAGGGTGTACAGCACTGGTCGACTGTCTGAGCAGTGACTGCGGTTACTAAGAGCAGTGACAGAGATGGCGAGGAAGAGTAAAAGCAGTAACATAGAGAGAGTGAGGAAGCACAAGAGCAGTACGGCGGATTAGTCTTGCGAGGAAAAGACAACTGCCGAAGAGAGTCGAGGTTCTCGTGAGGAATTGCCTAAACCCGCTGTGTGTGGAGCATCCAAGACCGAAGACAAGGATCCTCGTGTTCCGAAGTGTTGAGCATGCGATCACAGTAAAATTCATTCATTCTCTTTCAAACAACGACTGTGATAATGGAATCTGTTTTGACGCGTCTGGGTAATCTTGGGGCATGGTATTAATTTCAATGCCGCCATGTTGTCTGTATTTCATGACGTCGTCCAGGTAATTGAGCCCGTTCACCGAGTTACGTTTCGTATTTGTTTCGTACTCGGCTTGGATCTCGTGATGGCCCCGGATGAGCCCCGGATGCGAGACCGAGGTGCATATGATCATACAACTACCGAGCGACGTCCCACCACTCACCTTCCTCATCCCAACCCCGCCCGCTCCCTCCGTCTGCAACCACACAAGCATCTGCGGAATCGAACCCAAAGTCGCACGCGCGCAAGTCCTTCACGATGGCCGAAGACCAGAACCATACCGCGACGACTACGACTACGGACGAGTCGCACCGTATAGAGGAAGTGTCGTTGCTGGAGAAGGTCAGGTACGGCGCGACGGCCTACGCCATCCAGAATCTCGTGGTCAGGCCTGCGCTCTTCATTCGCGATGTCAAAGCACGCCTCATCACGTCTGAGCATCGCCCTGATTTCGTGAAGACTTATGAGTGCCGCCCGTATCTTCCTGTCAGGTATGCAGCGGCTAAGCGAATCCTTCGTCTGGTTATGAGCTGTAGTTGACAGGTCGTTCCAGAATTTTCTTCCCCAAGTGCTTTGACAAGACGTCCAAAGACAAGCTACCTGTTCTCTTCACTATCCACGGGGGAGGTTTCGTGCTCGGAACCCCTGACGACAACGACGACTGGAACTCGATGTACTCTACGCAGCACCACTCCATCGTGATTGGACTCAACTACGCAAAGGCCCCCGGCAACCCTTTCCCCGGGCCGATTCATGATTGTGAGGAGCTTTTCCTTGCAGCGTTGAACGACGAGTCTTTGCCGCTCGACAAGACCAGAGTTGCTCTAGCCGGCTGGTCTGCCGGTGGAAACCTTTGCCTTGCCGTCTCTCAGCTGGAGTCGGTCAAGAAACATCTCTCCGCCATCGTACCATTGTACCCCTGTACAGATCTCTCCATTTCCGCAGAGGAGAAAGCGAAGACAAGACGATACAAGCCAGACTTGGGCGGCTTCCGTGCCAAGGACAAAGACTTCTTACTCGGCATGGCGCCTGTATTTGACTGGTCTTACAAGGTTCCCGGCGAGAGCGCTCGTAATCCGTTATTGAGTCCGGCGTACGCACCTAAAGGAGCTTTCCCCAAGCAAGTCTTCATGATCGGCTGTGAACTCGATCTTCTGGCACACGAAGGCCAGCGGCTCATCCACAGCCTGGCCGGTCGACCACCACCACCCACAGTTGTTGGTAAAGAAGAGGTTGTGGGAGACGGAGAACTCGTTCTCGACGACGAGAGGTTCCACTTCGAAGTCTCAGGCACGGACGGTTCACGATACAAATGGTTGTTGGTGCCCGACACCGTCCACGGCTTCGACCAGCATCTAGGAGGGCTCGTTCGTGACGAGGTTCTCTTGGCAGATGCCGAGATCAAGATGCAAAAGACGATCAAGATGATTGGAGAGTGGGTTCTGAAGGCTCCTCCTACTAACGCGTCTTGATTGCTTTGTACACGACACGGAAGCAACAATTTCGAATGCCTACGCGAACCCTACGTACACGTAATAAGGGAAGCGGATGATGCTGTATACCAAAAGAAGAAAACATGCTGAGGAGCGGAGAGTCTGGCCCTCAGTCTATACCATTACGCCGTAGTTATGTAGCAGCTCTTGTGTGAATACCTGTCTGTAGTTGATGGCTCTCTGTTAATATAGGAGTCAATATGTATTTAGTCAGATTACAATGTCTATATCAAATGGAGAAACATCATCTCGTCCAGTCTATGGATTCAGAAACTGAGATTGAACCACTAAAGACAGTTCCTGTCTCAAGGGAGATGAGAAGACGTTTTGCGAACTCGAGTTACCATAAACTCCCCAAAAAGCTGCGGGGTAGCCTCAAGATGACCAAGATATTACTGAAACTTGACACTGGAATTATTCAAACAATGATTAGACTATTGGATGAACTCCGAACTAAGGGCGAAGGATCTGCATGACAAAACCCACAGAACGTCCGTTACATAGCATACGCGGGTAAAATCACACCTTCGTTGGCTCTTTTGGAAGGTGTAAAACCCGACTTGAACACGTCAAAATGCTGAGCCCGACCAGTCTGACACTTTTATACCAGAAGTTCTGCAGACGTAGTCATTGACGAGATAGAATGCGTGATTTCATCCGCTTCTGTCTCGACCTTTGAATACAATTCAGAAACAGATGGGGCTTGGTTACACGCATTATGGATGTGAGTTACTTCAGAAACAGGAGTTTCCGTCATTGACACTACGACGATGGAAACCCCAAGATTGAGTTAAGCACCTTTTTCCGAATTCCACACTTAGCGTCTAGCTCTGTAAAACAGTTCCGGCTGGCGGGACCTTCAAGCTGATCAAGTAGTCGTCCACCGCCCTTGAGGCATCACCTTTGTTGAGATAGCTCGTATGCCCAGATCCTTCTCTCAAGACCAATGTGGCAGTTTGAAATTCCTCAGCCATACCGGCAGCGTAAACGAAACTCGTGGCCGGATCGAACCGCGAATGCACAAGAAGCACAGGATTCTTTGTTGCCTTGATAGTGAGTGCCGTCCTCGGATTCGTGATATTGACGGGATATCCAGTACAGTCGATCACCCGGTGCCAGAACTCCCCCATCCCAGGTGTGACGGTGAAAGACCGCGTCATGTCGGCAACTCGTTGCACTTCAACGTGGCTTTTCGCCGCGAAGAAATGACCATCTTGGCATTGCACGACGGTGATTGATAGTGATCGAGAATCGGTGAAGATGTCGCCGGATAGCAACCCTGGGCTGAAGAACGAGCCGTTCCCCGCCGCCCCAAGTTTGAGCTGCTCAGCGAACGCTTTCCTTTGATTTGGGAACTCCAACGTTGACCGAGCCGCGCCCAAGACGTTTGAAACTGTCGCTAGAGGAACACATTTGGTCTTGATCGTTCCATCACACTCCGCAGCCTTTAACTGGCCGGATCCGGCAACCTCGATGACTTTGTTCCATGTCTTTCGTATATCCTGACCGCCTTCACCACAGCTTGTGGAGTTGGCTTCACAGAACCTGAAGAAAGCTTGAATTGTTGCGTCCAACGATGTAGCCTGTGTCATGATGTTCGAGGCAAAAGCGCCAGTATGTTGTAGCATTCCATCTAGAGCCATTGCTCGAATCTTATCCGGAAAGAGAGCCGCGTACTGAGCACCCAATTGCGTCCCGTACGACACCCCAAAGTAGTTCATCTCCTCTCTACCGGCAGCTAGTGTTCGTCAGTATTGTGTCTCAGGAAGTAAGGAACCGATATTACCAATTCTCACGGCTTCCATATCCTTCGCTACCAATATTGTATCCATGTGGTCGAATACAGGGCCAGTCATAGCTCGACATGATTCCCCAACCGCTTTGTTGTAGTCGAAGAGTTTCTGAAATCCTTCAGGCGTTGTCGCATCGAACTCGCTAGGTTGGTTGGCTAGGTCCGTGTCGCACTTCGTTGGCGTACTCAGACCGACACCACGCGGGTCCATTCCGATGATATCGAAGGATTGTCGTACTGCATCGCTGATGTAGATCCTCTTGGAAGCCATCCCAAGAACCATGCTCGATGCCGCCCCGCCCGGCCCGCCCGGATTCACAAAGAGATTCCCGATGCGCTTGCCCATTGCGGGCAATTTCACAATCCCCAGCTGGACTTTGGGAGTATCGCCCTGCACATTGCTGGGGTCTAGTGGCACCGAGAAGTTGGTACACTGAAGTTGTTGCGTAGCGTTGTTCCCTCGGAAAGGTCTAATGTCTGTCGGGCAAGCAACCCACTTGAGCTCGACCGGAAGGTCTTGCTGAACAGGGCCAACAGGTTGAGGAATCTTGACAGCCAGTACGGCACTGACAAACACCACAATGGCCCAAAATTGACGCAGGAGTACGAAATTGCCCATGATGGATTGTTTGTTCGTGAGCAATGCCACGGGAATCTGGATTCGGCAGAGGAGTGTGCAACCCGCACAAACCACCCATTGAGCAGCTGCCCCTGAAGTTAAATATCAAGTTGCGTTGGTTCGAAGCATTAGGTTCATCAGTTAATAGCCGCCCACCTTCGTGTGAGCAGCAATTCTCCAGGCTGATCCCTGGGCCAATAATGCTTCGCTCAACTTTGTTGAGGTAACCTAACCACACATGTCGCAGTTACTCAGAACAAAAGTGTCTCGCGAGCGTATCAGTCTCGCTGGATTCGCGCTGAAGTAGGGACGGGTATCTAAACTTTCGTGGGAGTGGACGAAACAGCAAGGGGTAAGGTGTCAATAGAGTTTTAGCTTCCACCAGTTATCCCGCCGGCCGTGAGAGAACATGTTGCAACAGTCCGGTGGGAAAAGCTGTCATTTCGAATTCATCCTTGGATATTATCATGAAACATTTCATTGATGTGGAATATTCAACGTTGATATCTGCTTTGGTCGTCTTTGGTGGCTGGCTGCTGCTTTGGCAAACACCGTACACCTGACAACACTGTGATTTCTCAAATTCTCGTGCGCAAAGCTTCCGTTGCAAGTTGGACGTAGCTCGTCAAAAACAAGCTGATGAGGGCAGTAAAGTGCCTCCCTGCACGTGAAAGTTTATGAAGTGCTTGAGGCGGATTCGAAGCTTTTGTGACTCGGTATTCCCTCCGGCCCGCCGAAGTGGGCCTTCCGCGCCGGTGTGCGTACTGCCCAATGGTAGTCCCGCCTTCCGTTTTGAGTACGACCCGCATTGGTTTGGCGGGACTCCCGGTCCGGCCCCACGCGGGATCAATGTTTCGTCATGCAGCCTCTAATCTGACAACATCATGACCAAGACATCTTGTTTCTAGCCTTTACGAACGCCGGAAAGGAGACAGCTAAAACGACACTTCGACTATATTTGACTATTTGAATCCCCAATTCATGCTATTAGCTATTACAGAGAGCCGCTAACTTGCCACTAGAACCCTCAGAGAACAGCAACGCAAGCGTAGGTATTGGCCCAAAGTCCCGTACATGAGGTGCCTCCCACCGCTGGATTCCACGCGACGAAGTTGGCCAAGGTAATACTATACTTGGCAACAATGCTTGCACAGTTTTCCCCAGAATGTACAAAGTGAAAAGATTTGCAGTTGGGCGTCATACCAGATTGAATAGGGGTGGGTGTCGAGATGCCGTTACCCGGGTTAGTAGGTGTAGATGTATGCCCGATGATCGAGATGCAGATATACTGGTAGATGTGTCAGCCCCCTTTTCAAGCAACTAGGCGAAGGCGTTACTCACGTAGTCGAGCCACAGCCCGCTGCAAGATGAGCCGACATTTGGATTCCAGCTAAGGATCTGAGCAGTAGTAATCCCAGATTTAGATGCAATAGCGGCACACGTGTCTCCCGACTTCACCATATAGAAGCTGTCGCAGTTTGTGACCATGTCTGGTAGTGTCGGAGTTGGCGTGGCGATCCCATTTCCGGCTGTGGTGGTTGTAGACGGGATGGATGGCTCATGCCCAATGATGGATACACAGGCATACGCCTCAGCCCAAAGGCCGGTGCATGAGGAGCCAGCGCTAGGGTTCCATGACAGGAACTGGGCCAAAGTGATTCCATGGGCCTTGATGATGGCATCGCAAGTATCTCCTTGCTTGACAAAGTAGAATGCGTCGCAATTGGTAACGATCTGGGGCTGAGTAGGGCTGGGTGTCTCGGTTCCGTTGGGTGGCTTCGTTGTTGTTGGAGGTGCCGAGGTTGTGGTTGTGGAGGTAACAGATGGTGGTCTCGTCGATGTTGCCGACGCAGAGCGGCTCGATGATGTCGATGTTGAAGGTGGAGGCTCATTGGTAGTCTCGACACAATAGGACTTCCCAACTTGCACGCTGCAGTCTGCCGTGATGGACGGGTTCTACTGCGTCGTTAGTGACTGTGGTCTCCGAAGCCGATTTAATTTATTGTTACCCATCGGCGAAACTCTTCGAGGGAGATGAAATTGTTACTCAGCAGGGAGGAGCAGCTTGTTGCAGAGGTAATATCAGCCCACCAGCTGCAGTACTCAGTAGTGTTGGGATCGTAGTCAAGGGATGGTGTAGGACCGTCACGGCGGACTACACCGGCGCGTCCAGCCCGCCCAAAGGCGGCTTGCGCAAGACCGGCGACCAACAAGAGTTTGTAAAACAAAGACGACATTGTTTAAACCGCTGAATTGTAGTTTGTGTCTGTTTGAAAGTAGACACGTTTTTTTCTCTGGTATTCTGTCTGAACATATACAATCGTCTGCCTTTTAGACACCTGGTTTATTTTCATCTGAACTCAACGGCGTACTCTAGCCGAGCCGGGTATCTTGGCCACGGGTATGTTTAACTTCTCTTGAGTTGAAGCAAACCTGACATACGGAAAACACGCCTGAGTCTGCCGCCATCACCGACACCAGCCGGACATCCTGATAATGCTCATTTTGATATGCTAGTCAGATTCACCTCGGTGGCCGCCATCCTAGCCCTCTTCTCCCTCCTGTTCTTCTTGCACTTCTGTATACAGCACCACATGCACGAGCCGATCATGAGAGCACCAATAATAGGCATCCCGATCATCAAGAAGTAATACGCACCATCACCAATGTATGGCAAGTTATCATTCCTGAATTGGTCGTACTCGCCTTTGGGAATTTTTTCGCCGGGCGTCCACGTCGGCACCCTCATGCCGCTGGTCAGTGTGGGCAGCTTCGGCGTCAGCGTCGCCGTGTCGGACGCGGCCCATGTCAAGGCCCAGGCGCTGTGCCTCTCGGCGGTGTGTATTTGGTTCTCGCCCGACGTCCCGGAGGCGGCTGCGGTCGCCCAGCCACTTCTTTCACACACGGCAGCCAGCGATGAGCTACCGCCGTCTGTCCGCTCTCGCGAGTGGGTGAAGCCGCTGGACCGATGGTTAGTGGTGTAGCCCTCTAGAGAGAGAATGTCAAGAAAGCGACGGAAAACGAACCTCTGACAGCAGTATGCCGTCGATGCTACTAGCGATATTTGCTCCCCTAGGCCTTGGTAGTTCCATCCCTCTGGACACACTCCCGGTCTGAAGTTGAGACGTCTCTCAGGAACTTCATCGTCCCACCCGGGAGGATAGCAGGATGCGGCAGGATTAGAGATGGTCCAGGCTTGCGTGACGGTGGTACCCCCGTACTTTTCCTGGAAAGAGGTCGACGTCGTCCACTGCGTCGAGCAATCCGACGGCTCTATCCATGGGGTGGTGATGGTGAGCAGCTTAGTGGACTCCGTTGCGTTGCTGGATCTCGGGGCGCTGGAAGACATTGTTGTCGTTGGAGTGAAAAATAACGGGGACAGAACTTGACTTGACAGGACGATGGATGGGTCCGAGGTGATTGCTCTCTTATACACCATCAGTTCTGTCGGAGCTCATGCGCCAAGGCGGCAAAACAAGCAAAGGGGAAGGGGAGGACATGGGGCCCTGCCAAAATGACAAACTGGGGGATGTGCATATCTCTCGCGCACCATGTAACGCTGCGTTGGTATGAACGGTGAGTTCGCATGTACATAATAGACCGCCTCGCCGACATGGCACACCATCGTGTTTGAGGAGACGGAGCCAGTTGTGACAAGTTCGCTTCTGTCGCTCTATAATTGTATTAGTATGTATGGCTTTCTGAATGAAGTACTCATCTGATCACATTGGCTCTGTTGCAACACGGCAATCCTCCAGTCCCTTTCAAAAGTTTCAATTGAGTTAATACTTAGCGAAAAGCACCTGTATATTGAATTCCATACACAGCTCAGTCCCCTCCCGACTAGCTTTGATGCGTTTGTGGTGGCGTGAATGGTCCCATGCTAACATTGCACAATCTTTTCTTCGGGATGAGCTCAGGAACCAGTTTCGCCATTTCATGCTCATCGCCAGTTTCTTTCGGTTACAAGAGTCCCCCCAACAGAGTTTAATCAATTTACGTTTGTAGCTATTTACAGTGAAACAAAACAAAATGTAGAAAGGACCAGAAGAAGATCACAAAGGTCGCTGCCATTGAGATGCAGGCCATGCTTTCTTCTATTTACTCATCGCAATCCCACCCATCTCAGAAGGACGTGGAATTGAAGTCAGGATTGGGCACAGTCTCCTCCAACACCGTGCCGTTGCTAAACACCGTCCCGTTTCTCAGGAACTCTACGCGCCCGGGATGATAAGTCGGCGGCGGGTTATCCATGATAGTCCCGTTGGCAAAGATGATGCCGTTGAACTGCGATACGAGCGGGTTGGGGACCTTCCTGCCGCTTTTGCGGGGTGGAAGCAGGGGATTCCGCATCGGATTGATCTTGCAGTTCTCACTGACGGTGTATAGGTTGAGACCGATGGCCAGAGTGTAGAGCTCCGCACTCAGCGCGTTCCATCCCGCCTCATTCATAAGCACCATCCCAATGTAGTCGACCATGAGAACGTTGGGAAACTTCTCGGGCTTGATCTCGTTGACGCCGCGCCAATACAGCGCCGGGTTTGTGGGGAGTACCGCGATTGACTGCAGGCTGTGCACGAACGTCGAAGTCAGGGGATTCGGTGTGCAGAGCCACTGGGCGACGTGGACATGGTTATCGAGCTTTCCCTCCCAAGCTGTTATGGCTTTCTCGGCCATCTGTTTCGTGTCCTCCTTCTCGGGCCAGGCATCAGTCCAAGACATCGAGTCCTTCTTGTAAATGCCCTCGCTGGTATCATTGCGATCCTGGTAGTTTATGTTCTTGGCTAGGTGCGCTGTGTCCAGGAAGATGAGAACGCAACCCTTGCCGCTGTTCTTGTCCATCAGAGTTCCAATCTTGATGTCCTGCATTGAAGTTCCAGACAGATCCGGACAGCGGTTGTTGATCTCCTTCAACTTGTCAAAGAACTTGTTCTTCGTGTCATTGTCCCAGTACACAGGCCCCAGACTCGGTACGTTGCGTACGCCAACGAGATAACGGAACTGCAGCATGATGACCTCGCCGGGATTCTCGTTGGTAAACTTATTGATCTCCTGGATAACCTCGTCGAACTTCTCGCCTGACCTGCCGAGGGGCGCGTCGGCTGCCTCATTGGTCAAGTGAGAGGTCCAGAACTCGTATTTGCCGCAGCAATCGACGACCTGATGCACACTGGAAACGCGCATGTCGAACCAGCGAGACCCAGCCCGGAGCTGGTCGTAAATGTTGAGCATCTGGTTTTGCGTGTTAGACGCGGTGGCGCCCGTCAAAATGGCCCCCGTGATTTTGCTCATGCCCGCGTCGTGAGTGCCCGGCACGATCACATCGACCAGCTTACGGTGCTTGATTTGGTCCTTGATGCCCCTCATCCAGTTACCCGGGCCGTAAGACAGTGAGGTAATGAAGCCGAACGAGTCGCTGCCTGTGATGACGAGGGTGACGGGAACCTCCTGCTCCGGCACCTTATACTCGCGCTGGCCCTTGCCCATCCCACTCAGGTCGAACACGACGCGCTTGGGGTACGTGTCCGGGATGTGCGTCGTGGCACGTACGACGAACTTCTTGTTCGTGCCCTCTATTTCGTAGTAGGCCTCTCCATTGTCATCCACAGGGTTTGCTTTGACGTCTTCGGTGTAGTGGGCGACGTTCTGTCGGGCCTTGCCAGGAGGAATGTGGCCCCAGTCGAACTCGTCCATCTGATACGATTGGGCTGAGGTGAGTTTGAAGTTGTGCGGCGTGAGGTTGACGATGGTGATGTATTGTCTGCCCGTAGTTGCCGCGTACTCAGGCTCCATCAAGAACCAGCGCATGTACTCGCCGACACGGCCGGTATAGTCTTTATCGTAGGTAATGTCTTCATCTTTGCAAGCATCTTCAGGGTCGATTTCGGGTCCTTTGTCGTCGTCTTCATCGTCGCTCGTGTCCACGCGCTGGCAAGCATCAGGGGGGCACCAACCACGAGAGCAGGCAAATGCGCACAACTTCTCGTCATTGACATTGCCGATTGGCTTGCCGCTGACTCCCTTCACCTGCGGCGGAGGCTCGATCAAGCCGCCCTTCTCCGTACACTGGCAGACATGGATGGGACAGAAGCCGAAGTTGCAGGCATAAGAGCAGAGGCCCGTCAAGCCCTCGAATCCCGCGCGGCCCGTGCCGGCTCGGCAGGCCAGCGGGAGGAACTCAGACACGGTCGGCACGATCATGGGCTGCAAGGTATGCGAGCAGTATGCCTCCGGGCAGTATCCCAGGTTGCAAGCCGACGAGCAAAGCCCCATGTAGTTCTCGCTTCTCCCCTTGGCCGGGAAACCGTCAACCTCAAGCGCAGTTGGCTTCTTGTTTGGGGCACCGAGGGCAGTGCACACGCAAGACGACACCGGGCAGTAGTTGTACTTGCAGTTAAACTCACAGAGCTCAGTGAAGCCCGCGGCTCCAGTTCCCATGACGCATCCCTGCTCCCCGCGGGAGCGTGGGGTCGTGACGGAGACGGATCCGGGCACGAGGGCGCTGCCAACCCAGGGGTTCCAGTTGGTGCGTCCATTATCGCAGCTCGCGGCGCTGATGGCTGCGCCGGCTACACTCGCGATGACACGGGCTCCTCGTGATATATTGACGGTCACGTCACCGCCCAAGCCTTCAAATGAGATGCTGCCATGGTATACGCCGACGCCCCCGTCTGGAACTGATGACCACTCCGGGCTGAAGGTCTGGCCCCCTATCGTCACCGTTGCTTCAGCTGTCGCTCCGAGGACGGCTGAGAAGAAGATCTTGTCCTGCATGACGGTCTCAGGGGCAAACTCCAGCTGGAGTTGGCTGGCCGTATTGCCGACGGTGCCCCCATCAGAGCACGCTCTAGCCGGGCTTGTGCGATACCAGGTGACGATTCCTTCTTGAGTGACGGTAGCCTTGCCGGTCTTATAGTAATCGATCCAGAAAGGCAGCGTCAGACGCCAACCGTCATGGGGCCTGTTGTTGGCGTAGTTAAACGGAGCTTTGCCGATTTCGAACGCCTCCAATGCGTGGCTGTACACTGGAGAAATGTGGTGCGATTCTCCGTAGTCGTTCCATGATATGATTTGGGCATACCTAACGCGCCGATGTTAGTATATATGTGCTGTCAACTGCGGGATCTGTAACACTCACTCAGGCTGGTTATAAATGACCTGAATCCACCGGTCGTGCCACATGTCATCGCCGCGCCATAGCCAGTTCTTATTGTAACCAGGCATGTTCGTATAGAACCACGGGGAGACGGGCATCATGTACGGCTTCTTGTCGAGGTACCCAATATAGGAGGCGTCAACATAGGTATCCATATCTTGAGGACCCCAGGGCCAGGCTGCCCAGTTGAAGAGACCGTCAGCCACGCCACCCCCAAGCGTGAGGGCGGGCTTGGCGCCTTCAGATGACCAATCCGGGATAAAGAAACAGCTGACTTGTTTCTTAATATCGATCCAGTCATCAGCGTTCCCGGGGCCTTCAAAGGTAGAGACCAAAGGCTTCCCATTACTATGCTTAAAGTACTCAGCAGTAGACCCATACTTCTTCAAGTAGCTGATAACGGTATCCTTGGGCCAGGGCCCACGACCAGCATAGTCAAAGGAAAACAGGAGCTTAAAGCCTTCTGACTTGGCGGCGTTGAAGGCACGCTCAAGGGAAGGCTCATTGACAGCTTCGCCGTGGGCCATGTTGAGCACGAAGGCGTCGATATGCGCTTCTTTGGCAAGCCGTATGTCCGTCCGCTAAAGGTCGTCTGAGTAATCAGCAGTGTTGCCCACCTGCGCACATACAAGTCAGCGGATGATCTCTCGAAAAGGTGACAACGGGAGTAAAGGTATACTGACCATAAAGTGTGCAAATACTGACGCGGCCTGGACGCGGCATGCGCCAGCCAGGGCGACGAGAAGCAAGTTCAACCTCATGACAAAATCGATGTCCAGAAATACAGGATGAAAGCGAATGAAGTGTGGTCATGAAGCAGGTCCTGGCCAGAAAAGACCGCCGGCTTCTTCTGACTACTTATACGCTGAATGTTCTCTGGTATCTCAACGGACTCTCCCGTCCGGCGGCACCGGCAGGAGACATGATCAGAAGCCAGGAAGTTGACAACTCGTTCATCACGTTTGACGAGCCGGACAAAACCTAGCAATTGAGGCACAGCTCGTTCATTCGAAATAGCGCAGTGCGGGTAAGAGGCACAGGTTCGCCGGTGCCTGCAGATGTGAGATGAGAAGCCAAATCTAGACTGACTTCCGGGAGGTCTCTCCGAGGGTTAGTTGGGCCAGAGAAAGTATACATCGCAGGGTTGGGTCATTGAGGTAACGAGACATTGGTAATGGCCATAATAAGATTCAACTTTGGTCTTTCCCAGCTAAGATATCACCTTCTCTCCGGATATCTTTTCTTTTCTGACTAAACCTCGCTGAGGATATTCGCAAGAAGACTGTCAGCGACGTGAAGTCCAACGCTCGTTTGCAACATAAAATTACCTCCACTGAAGCTTATTGCCATCTTTGTTGTGGCACAAGTGCCCATGTGATTAAGCAAGCGCCTAGCCATGCAGCCTTGCTCGGGCCGTTCCAACAGCGGCTTGTTGGTTGATAGAAGATTCCTCTTGGCATGCCGATATGTATGTTGGAAGCAACATCAAGCGAGCGTGACGGTGCCGCGAGCTGCCTATTCGGTCGGCCATCCCCGTGGAAAAGGGTCCGAGCAAGAGTCATGAGCTACAGCCTGAAGCAATTCGCCTTCGCATATCATCCGCATGTCATGCAACACCCGTAGCTTCACGTCCACCAAAACGGACAAAACGGTTCCTTGCAATCTTGCTGCTTTTTACGGAAACCACCATCGGCTTGTTCTCCGCCAGACCTTGCGTGCTAGTGATGAAGCATTCAGCAATCCATCACCAACAGCTCCCTTAAATGAGGGAAATATAGCATTTCACACAGCAGAGAATTATAAGAATCTCAGGCTTGGGAACATCTGTTGGCAGTTAGTATCCTAATGCATTGATGAGTTCAAGGGTCCTCTCATCGAGTCGAGCTTGAGCCCCCAGTCCCGAGTGGGGGCTAGGGCCAACGCAAGTTTCATTAAACAACGTAAAAGCCTTTAACCACCAACGCCAAGACAGCAGTAGAAGTACATTGCCCCATATCTGCGTTGCATAAATCTCACGGTTGGCGCCAAAGACCGGATCTAACTGGTAGAACATCGACGAGTAATACATCGGGTCAACACTCATGTCATTAGATCAGTCCCCTCTCCAGAGAGCCATACATATGGTGTCAAAACAACGAGCAAGGAGCAAAATACTGCATACTGATACCTGTCAATAGGTGAAGACAGATTCACTCAGTTGCAACACCGCCAAGAGGTAGCAGTGTTTCGATCCATGGACAGAGAACATAACGTGCGCCCTGATATTATGCAGCAACGCAGTGCTCACTTACACGAGGCCATGGGAGGCCGCGAGTTCAAGCTTCGCCACGCCGCTTATTCTTTCAGAATATTGAATGTTAAATGTGTACTCGTTGGGTATGGCGAGATACCAATAACCAGATTATAAGGGTGGCTGCATTGTATTGCGCGGCATATTGCATTTGTTCGCCACGCCGCGGTTGGTTGGGTGCGTACCTGAGAAGTTCAGCCTAAAATTGACCCGTTCCCGATCTCGACAAGCCTGGACTTCTCGACCTGCAGAGTCGCAGCGGATGCACAGTGACCCAACTTCGTCACACGTCTGGACCCTTCCTTTGAGAGAGCTAGCGCCTTGGAGAATATGGGTTTTCTGCTCAAGCGGCCCTGTGTAGGTTTCCGTTGTTTTTTCGGGGTTCTTCCGACGGCCGCTTTCCTCTTCTGTTAGTCTCCTTGAGGAAGACATGCGACATCATTGGAGCAACCAATAATCCCGTGATGTGTACCAAAAGAGAATATATTCCAGTGCTGCATGGGGGCTGAACTCATGCATATCAATGTCACATGTCGTCAGGCCTCCCTTGTTGGACCTCGACACGAACGGCTCCACTTACTACTTCTAGCCCGACATAGGAGAAAGGTTGCCGTGTTATCGCGTGACGAATTGAACTTGTTTGTTTCTTCCCAAACATCTAGAGAGACCGGGCGCCTTAATTATACGAGCCTCACTATCACGCTAAGATATTGGAAGTGCAGTTAATCCCTAATAGTTTAACGAGAGTGGTAACTTGTCTATGTCAATTTTACAAATATGTGGACAAAATGACTGAAAAGTAGAAGACTGATGAACGTGGCGATGCAGCCAATCGATAGATGAGCCGACACTTCTGTGACAGAATCATGTGCTCAAAATCCGGGGCTTCAATACGATTCTGAAGTCAGTGCCTTTACCACATCTTGATAGAATTCTTTCCGCCCTTCTCCATGCAAAGACCCCCATAGATTGGGAGCTTCTGGTCATCGCCAGTGCAGCCCTTGTTGTTGTACACTATTCACACGCTTGCATTAGCCAAGTTTTCATGGAGAAGAAGACTGTGAAACGCACGATGGACCTGAGTGAAACCGGCAGAGTTATAAAAGAAGGCGCCGGTAGCATCGTCAATATCGTAGCATCTGGCCGAGACGGGAGCTGCATGGTAGAGAATGTCCCTGTCGTTCTTGCTGTTTGAGACGGAAAATTAGCCAAGCTGTGAAACTAATGGACTACACTAGCTGCCGGCGATTCAATCTTACCAGTCGTCCAGAGTTTTGTACTGGTTGAACTTGACAACGTCACGAGCTGCCACGGATGAGCCAGAGCCTACATTGCCAGCGGACGGCAAGGCCAGGGCGGAAGAGAGAAAGAGGGTGGCGGCGTAGATCGCAGCATTCTTCATATTGACTTGATGATCGGAACACAAGTAAGGCAGGAAGTATGTAGTATTTTGTAGGTTTGGACGTTGATGAGCTTTGGGATTGTAATACTGAATGATTATGGGTTCGAATTCACGGGACGATGCTGGCCTTTTATAACTTTTGATGGTCTGTGATTCGGGAAGCCTTTTGAGTGTTGCCTACAGTATTCTATTGTTCGTCGTTGATTCGGAGGCTTCGGACTCTATGTCGGTTCTCATGACATCGTCATGTTCTACATAATTCCACCAGGCTATTCTTCCAAATGAGAAAACATAAAACTGGCGGTATTGGAGTCCGCTCGATTCAATCCACTTATTGGAAGCCGAAACTGTTCATTCGTCGGTTCGGATATTCTCGAGACACAAGCTTACAGCTCATCCTTTTTGTCTCACCTGGTTACGCAATATTCACAGCCCCGAGTAACTCCCAGATCCTACCAGGTCCACCAAACGACGATCAGTAAGATTTTCACGCGTGTAGTGAAGTCTGGTTGGACGATCAATCATGTAGAAAGGTGGGATGTCACTGTGTGTGATGAACACAAATCCTCCGGATCATATACGGACTCCGGGCAACAGCAAATATTTAGAACGTTTCTCTATGATTGGAAAACTTGACTAAGATATGGGAGAGATGAATTCGAAAGAAAGAGTAAGGATCGGAGTTCCTACATCAACTTTTGCGGCTCAGTGCTGACCTGCTGTTGATCCATTTAGGCATCAACGTCGCACAACCTTTCTACTGAGACTCACAAACTTTACAGATTCCGCCTATGTGCTTGTACGTTACTTACGAAAACCAATACATGGAAATGATGATCTTATTTTGAGAGGATACCGACAGAGGGAAAGCCATGCAGTCTGGGACAAGCTGCCTCTTCGTAGGAGCACACGAAGCCTCATGAAGAGCAAGAACCAGCATGTTCAAGATACGAAGGTTAAAAAAAGACACACGTCAGGAATGAATTGTTGCGTCATCTCACTCTGTCAAACTTGACTAACAGTGATGTGGTCGTTCGTGCTCCCACAATTCAATCAGCTCCCGCCTCGAATGTGCAGAAGCCCCATATTACAGTGGGAATTGCTGAGTGTGAGGCCCTCCAGTAGAAACTCTCAATACAACTTAGTCGGCATCTTACACCATAGAAGTAGGCGAATGGAATTTTTTTGGTCCTTTCTCCCGCAAAAGATATGTCAGATTCTCCAAGTCATGCTGGTTTCCTGGTTGGAGAGCCTTGATCCAAAACGTTGCACCTAAGTCGCGACATGTCTTCGGCGACGGCGTCGCAATCGGCCCCGAAGCCGGCCTAGCCCGGATTTCGAGTCATAAATCCGCACCAACACCGCTGAATAATGCCTTCACGACGCGTAACTTGATGAGATAGCGCAGGTGTCGTATTACGAGCCGAGCTCGGTCTTACGGTTTCCGAACTTTGTGTCTACGTGACAATCTGTTAAAGCTCATGTGTTCCAGCAGCACATCAACCTCAACATTTACCTTTGAATCATCACTTTAAACAATCAAAATGCTGCAACCACTGAAGAACGTCGTTGTCCTAGGAGGCTCCTATGTCGGGCTGGTATGCGCAGCCAAGACGGATGTCACTCATTAATGTCGAGCATCAACTAATGAATTATGCCCATTTAGGCCGCCGTGGAAGAGCTTGCTGCAACTCTACCGAAGTCTCACCGAGTGAGTTCAACTCGAATTACTGTCTCGATAATGAGCGAGCACTGACACCTTTGCCAATCACACAGATCCTGTTGGTCGAGCCCCATAGCCACTTTCATCACCTTTTCGCATTCGTGAGTTGTCGACGGACACAACCCCAATCTTTGCACGTTGCAAATACCAAGAACGACTAACACGGTGAGCAGCCTCGCTTTGCAGTCTTCCCAAACCATGAGCACAAGGCTTTCATTCCTTACAAGGCAGCTTTTGCCAAGTCGTCCGATCCGTCAAGACATGCAGTTATCCAAGCTCGCGCAGAGGCTGTCCGGAGAAACTCTCTTGTCTTGGATCGGGACTGGCAGGGCTCCAAGGAAGTTCCCTTTGAGTTTCTAGTTGTGACAACTGGTACCCGACTGCCGAGCCCTGGTACAATGCAGCATGATGATAAGGCATCCTCAATCACCAGCCTCCAATCATACCAGAAATCCGTCCAGAAGGCATCTTCCATCGTCATTATCGGAGGCGGTGCTGTGGGTGTCCAAATGGCCACTGATCTGAAGGAGCTCTACCCCGAGAAAGAGGTGACCCTGGTTCATTCCCGAGAGCATCTTATGCCTCTTTACAACACGAAGTTGAGCGACATTATCAAGACTCGATTCAACGAGTTAGGTGTCAAGTAGGTAAAACCCCTCGCAAACTCCTTAGCTTACTAATGACCGGTAAAATCAGGTTGGTGACCGGAACACGCGCAGTCATCCCTGATGGCGGTCTGGCGACCAATGGCTCTCAGACCGTTGTGAAGCTCACAGATGGCAGCGAGCTCTCGGCGGATCTTGTCATTCCCGCAACAGGCCAAATTCCCAACAACCAGTTCCTCCGTGGTCTTGAGGCAAGCGGTGACGGACCTATCTTGAGCCCTACGAACGGGTTCATTAAAGTGCGACCCACGCTTCAGTTCCAGGACCCAGCGTACTCTCACTTGTTTGCTGCCGGTGACATTGCCGATTCTGGAGCACACAAAGCTGCCCGACCCGGCGCCGGGCAGGCCAAGGTGGTCGCCCAGAACATATTGGCCATGGTCAATGGTCGGGAGCCGACGGAGAACATTGTGGTCAACCCACCGGCAATTCATCTCTCGTTGGGGCTTGTGAGTATACCGTTCGGTCTCACTGGACGTACCGTTACTGATGGACTTTTTCTCCCGCTCGCCTAGACAAAAAACATGATTTTTGGAAACCCCAATGTTACAGCTGGAGAAACAGAGCCTCGTATCGTGATGCGTGATGAGTAAGTCAACATCTTCGCTGAAGCAGACCAAACAATATTGACGATCCTGCGTAGCGGAAAGGATGATATGAACATTGAGAGCGTTTGGGCACGACGGGGCGTCCAGGTTACTGACTCGAGAGAGTACCATTTGTAGGAAATACTCGAGCATTACATGCGAGTGATAGAAACGTCTTCAAAGCTGCCTGAAAGATATGGCATAGAGCCTCAAGACGGGCCCAAAGAATAGAGATCTTATGATACAACTTCAACCTGTGAACCACCGACGTTCGAATCCAAAGACATTTTGTGTCTTCCGCACAGTATTTTGAAAACTTACCACAGAAGCAGATGGGCTGCTTACTCGTTGTCACGTCGCAGACAGCACCAGAAGTACGTATGGTATCTCTCAGAGGCTTCTTTAATGGATTTACTACGATTAATACAGTAGATATGTCAAGCACAGCACCGAGATAGCTAAGAATCCATTGGCCGACGTCGACCTGGCTCGATTTGAGCCTCTTCAGAGCCAATAGATGTCCGCTCGACATTCAGGCTGTGCACTTCTGCCTAGATGCTTACGCGGTGGGTGTGCCACGTCAGTAGATACAACCGCAAATCAGACAGGATTGTCCACCAGCCTGCATATGAAAACTGCATGCCAAGTCAACGGATTGATTCGTTCATTACGGACTGCGCCATTGTCTGGCAGAATGGTCTTTTGATCTTCTCTTCTCCCCGCATCTACAGCCCTGATCTTTTCTGTCTCCCGTTTCATTCAGATTATCCTCCAGACACCAATCCCAATGTATTCTCAATAACACTGACCGTCACTCACGATGGCTGATCCACTAAGTATCCTCGGAGGAGTAGCAGCTTCAATCCAGCTGGTTGAAGTTGCGATGGGCGCTTTGATAGGTACCGTCAAGTTCGCTCGGGAATTCGGTGAGATTCCGCACAAGATCGCAATTCAGCTTGACGACGTCAACAGATCCTCCCAGAGGGTCCATTTCATTTGCGAGAATATCATTAGACACGATTCCAATGTCGCCATTCAACTGAACCCCATTCAGGTGGATCGTCTCGCATCATCTGCAGAGAATGTGCGACTGGCAGCAAAAGACGCGGAATCTTTACTCCTACCCCTTTTCGAAGGCGTCGGTCCTGCGAGGCGGAGGGCTATACGAAGACTGTGGAGAACCGTCGTTTCCATGACTCAGGAGTCGGTCGTGTTAGAAAAGCTTCGTAGAGTGGATAAGCTCAATCTGGAGCTGATTGAGGAATTCCAAACCGCAAGTATCACGATGCAAGCGGAGGTCCGGTTTGTCAACGTGGCACTTAGTCTATATCATTACCGAATTAACTTTCCTCCCAGATCAATGCTCGACAAGACTTCAACATCCGCAAGTAAACATCAGATAGAATCTTTGAATCGACTTGATTCAACTCTGCAGTTCATCTTGCAGACTCAGTCAACAATCACTACCGGATTTGATGAAGTCTCTACGGGTTTGCGATCAGTGGACATATCAAACGCCACAGTCGTTCACAACACCATAGCAATACAGAACAAGACGGACGAGATTAGTTTGAGCGTTAAAGAGACAACGAAGGCCATTCATTGTCAAACATCAACCATCAATGGCGAGATTCAAAAGCAGGCCCGAATGAGCCATGACGACATGCAACGAATAATTCATCAACAAGAGCTTCGAATGAAAGAAGAGCTCCGCAGTATGCGAGATCAGCTGTTGGTATCTCTTACTGGGATGGTAGCGTCATCTACAGAGAGTCCTGTCAATGCATTGGTCGACGCTCCCAAGCTTACTTGCGAGGACCAAATGTTGCTTCAAAACAGCACCCTCACTACTTTGATGCGTTATCCGACAGCTCTCAGAGATGCCTGGGGACAGTCGCTTCGTTGCACAAAGTCTGCTCGTCGGTGTCCCTGCCGCATCAGGACAGACACCGGTACGAAGAACATTTGGCGCTTTGGTGTTGAAGTGGCTAGAAAGTACCGGCATCGAGATGACTGTCCTTACAATCAAAGTGGCCACCGGTCATGGGCCTACTCACTCTTTGTCAATTTCCATCCGCTTCTAGAAAGCAGGGTAGAAGTCGTCTTAGGGGCAACGACCGGGCCTGGAGTCTGGAGCATGGCGAGCCCTCTACGAGTCCAGCGAGTTATTCGGCGTACAGAATCGCCCATCTTCCAAGCCTTTTCCTCCCTTCCTGAGGCTTTCATGGCAAAGGAATATGAAACCTCCATGTCCTTTCCTAGTAGGGGTAAATTCATGTCTTGGGCCATTGCGGGCGACGACAGTTTACCCACTTTTAGAATGGTTTGGGCCTCCGGCCTAGGTCAGAGACTGGAAGACCTAGTCGTGCAACTCAGGACAGAAATCTCAAGAGGTGACTTCTCTGGGGAAGAGATCGACGAGCAAGGACAAAATATTTTATTTGTAAGATTCCCCGTCATTCGAGAAAGTCGCAAACTAAGTAATTTTAGCTTTTTAGTCATCTGCTTCTCATGCTCGGTGATCAGTGGAAAGAGTTTGAACCACAGTTCAGAAAGCTTCTGATCACTATCCTTCAATCCAGGGTCAACGTGGAGTTTACAGCCAAGACAGGTAACGCTTCGATGGGGCCGTATGTCATGAGGAGCGAAAGTCGTCGGTGAGAAATAAATTTATTTCAGACCTGTCACTTCTTTGTTATGGATACTAATATTTCCTGCGTCAGCGTATGGAATAAACGTCAGTACACGGCATTTGAGTACCTCTTCCAGAGAGGCTTTACACGCAGCAGTATTTTCGGCTCGAAATTTCCACTATATGCAAATTGGATCGAGTTCAGCGCCATTCATGACTTTCAAGACGTCGAGTTCATTGGTGTTCAAGAGGATTTCAATGACATCAGCGCCGTTGAGCTCGAGCTTTTAGGGAAACATGTTGAAGTTGCAGAAGGTGAAGTTCGATTTCATCGATCATGGCAGCCCACTCGCATAACAGTCTAACATGTTGGGATGATAGCATGCGGATACGATGATCTGGCACTCGCAGTGATTCGTAGATCACTCAGTGACATAGTACGTCTTGCAAAGATGAAAGCCTTTTGCGATGAACCAAAGCTCCGCACGCGACATTACTTTACAAAACTTGAGCTTGCGGTGGGGTGGATAGAAGGCATTGAGGTTCTCATGCAGCTTGGCTTCGATCCAATTCCGGCCATTAGTCAGGCCTGTAGGCTGGCTGATACTGCCTCTCTGCGATGTCTTCTTCGGCCAGATCTGCCAGTCTTTACAAAAGGCTACTGCCCATGTCGCTCTCATTCCTGTTCTATGTTGTGGATGTTCAAGGAAGCCATCTGCTCTGGAAGCCGAGAGATACAAGACATTGTGGTCTTGGAGCTGAAAGCAAGACGGCAGAAGCTTTATGAACTCGCGCTTGAGGTGTTTTCAGAAGCAGAAGCAGCTAAGATGGAGCTCACCGAGAGCTCCTTCTTGCTTGGCAACGCGGCTTCCATGTTTTCTCGACTAGCAGAGAAAGTAACAATACCGGTACAGCTTGATTGCTGTCGGATGGCATCACCTTATCACTTTGGAGATATAAATCTCTACTTCCGTAGAAGCCAGAGCTCAGGAGTTCCCAAATTCCTGGATCGTATCTACGAAGCCGGATTCACCGAAGTCGACGAGGAAGATGAAGTTGGACAAACACCGCTTTTCGAGCAAATGAGAGCATTCTCATGCGGACAAGTCGGTTATGTGGAAACCCTCCGTGTAATAGACTGGTTCGTCAAGAGAGGAGCCCGGACATTTACCAGAATGGGAGACCAGTGGCCAAATGTTATGTTTCACTTGGCTTCGAGCTGGGCAACGACGTATCACACAAGTAGGGGTCTTTGTGCAAAAGCAGACGACACCAGAAGCATGTATGGAATCGACGCTGATTTTACCATTTCGGTAATTGGAGGCCTGCAACAAGAGGAGGACGAGTGCGTATGTTACTGCTCGTCCTCTGGGTGCACGCCTTCACACCTCATAATGCGTTGCCACCAAAGAATCACAGACGAAGCAAAATCATGCGTCAGAAATCAACAACCCCATGTTCGTTCTGCTACTCTGCAAAAATGGATCGAAGAATGGGGAAGTGGGAATTTCGACCTCGCCTATCTCAACAGGGAGTTATGCCGGATACAAATTTTTGAGCGCCTTGGAATGGCACACACTTGCTGCATAGCTCGTCATCACAATTTTATCGGGAAAGAACCCTTCCGAGGGTATTTTTGGTTGGTTGCCCGCCCTCAGGACTCCGCCATCCAGCGTCAACAAAACGACGATGCCTATCATAAGACTCAACTCGACGAGTTCATGAAGTATTACGATATCCTGTTCGGTAGCCTAGGACACGATGTCGATAGCTTTCAGAAGACCTGGTGGGCAGTCGTGAGTGAGATTCTCCCGCTTTTGCCACTGGTACCGGATAGGGACTGCCAGTGCTGTTCCCAGGCCTATTGGTTTGCACGATCAGACTCCTGGATCAGGGAGAGGGCGGACCTAGCCGCGAAAGCCGATCAAGAAAGGGCTGAGGAACACGTGGAAATACTGCGGAAGCTCGGATATGAGGATTTTGAAGATTTCAAGGACGTCATTACGGACCATTTCGAGAAGAGTATTTTGGGGATTCTCCGTAATGACTTCAGGTTGATGGAGAAGAATAAAGAGGTCGACAAGTAATCGTATTCTACTCTTGGGAGTTGGTGTGAGTCCCTCTTGTAGATTTTCGGTCTGATTTAGCTAAATAATAATGGGACAGCAATACTTGATATCTTCAAATCCAAGGGGGTAAGTAAGAGGTACAAACAAATTGACTTCAGTGAAACTATCACTAACCCCTAGAGCGGAATCTAGAAACAAATGCAATATGCGGCGTAGTATAATGCAGCCACCCTTACTATTCTCGTCAATATCTCGCCATACCCAACGAGTACACATTTAACGTCCAATCTTCGAAAAGTTTCTTGATAAGTTCCAGGCTGGCGGAATCTAGGAAGGATTAATTAGTATGAGTGACTTTCTCAAGGAAATACTTATCTAATCACATGATCGCTAACGCCCAGTTGAGCAAAGGGCTCATTATACCCTTACTTGAGTCTCTTGAGGTACTAAAGCAGTTCGTCGCTCTTTCGGTGGGATAAGCAATCACTTCCTAGTAACCTTGTTGCGATGACGTTCCTCCCACACATAGTCTACGCTGAAGTTTGGCACCCGTAGCAATATCACAAGATTTTAAGAGTTCCAGACGACCCTCGTTGAAAATAACATGCCATTAACTCCTCTCCGTCCTGGTATCACCACCGCGTATACATACACCTCTACAACTCCCCCTACTTCTTAACCTCAGTACTCCCCGCCGCCGTAGTCCCGCTCGCCGTGTCCGGACTGTCCAACAACTCCGGCCCGGGCTCCACCGTCCTCAGACTCCCCGTCTGATTCTCCGCCGTCTTCTCAACCTTCTTAACATCAACTTCCCCCGCATCCAGCTCCTCCTCCCCGTATGGACCGCTAGTCTTCACACCCTCCATCGAATCCGTCTCGTCCCCGTCCTTGACAACTCCATCCTTGACACTGCTCGCCCGGCTCACATCCGCGCTCTCGGGACTCTCCGTCCTCAGACCGAGATGCTTCTCGGCGAGCGGGTCCTCCTTGTTCCCGCCCTTCCAGTCCGCAGCTTGCATCTGGGGGACAGGAGAGCCCGTGGAAGGCTGCTGCACGACGTCGCCCTCGGCCGGGCCGACTTCGTCGCCGCCGTCCTCGGCGCGGTGGGAGTCCGCGACGCGCCAGACGACGGCAATCTTGTCGAACGCGCGCGAGCCCTTCCTGCTGGACCCCTTGATACCGTCCATTGCGTCCCACTCGATCTCGAATACGCCGCTGGCGTCGGGCTTGCCGTCCTGCTCGGGTCCGTTGCCCTCGAAGAACACGTTGAACCAGACATGAGCAACAGCCGTGACCATCGTCAATCCCATCGACGCCGACGTCCTGTTTCGTCTCTCGACGGAGATGTTGACATCGCTGTTCGGGATGTGAATCGGCTGGGTCGGCTTCAGAATGACCGCCATACCGCCAGGCTCCCCATCAGAGCCCTCTCCTTCCTTCCCGTTCGCCTCCGTCTCGCTCCTCTTGTTAGGCCCAGGCGCCGCTGGGTCCCTGATAAGCGACGTCGTCTTGGCGTTGCGCAGCTTCTTACTCGCGCTCCTGGAAACCGAGCTCTTATCCTCTCGCCCCACTGGACTACCGCCTTTCTTCGCGTTGTTGGTATTCGTATGCTCCGCCAAAGGCGCCTCCTCAGGAGCCTTTTCCGTGGGCTTGACACCAACGGTCGCCAAGTCCGTCATCATCCTCCCGATCCCGCCACCGCTCGGCGCGTCCCCTTCAACCACAACCCTCTCGCTCTTCTTGAACGTGTGGAACACCTTAATCTTCTTCCCCTCGTCCGCGAATCCCTCCACGTCGAACTTGACACCGCTCCGTAGGCCCCAGACGTGGATCTCTACAATCTCGAGGGCGCGGTCGACGTACTTCTTCCCGCCCCGCGTCCAGCGGTCGACGTAGGTGATGGTCCTCAGCTGACTCGGGATCGACACGCCCGCGCCGAACTTGGGCCTCATCCTCCGCTCCGTGAACCTCGTGAGCGCCTCCTCGGGCTTCCACCCGCACTGCGAGATGAGGTAACTGCAGGACACCGTCCCGCTGCGTCCCTTTCCGGCTTTGCAGTGCACGACGACGACCCTCTTGTTCTCCGCCTCGGGCGCCTTCCCGTCCGCGGCGCCGACGCCGGCGTCGCCCTGCTCGAGGTCTCCCCCGTTAAGCCAGTTGCGCATGCTCGCCATGATCATAGGAATGAGGCGGAAGGGGGGCGGGTGGTGGTCGGGCCAGGGGTAATGCCTCACGCGCCCGTAGACCTCTTCGTCGGGATACCCCGTGCCCTCTGCGCGGAACTCCCATATCGCCCAGTTGTCCTTGTGCTTCTCGTCGAGGAAGGTGACGAGGCGGTCGAGAGGGTTTCGGTAAGCTCGCTGGGGGTACGTCCCTGATGGACCGGAGCTGGATGCGACAAAAGTCAGTATCGTTCGTTGCGTCTAGAAGCAAGACGGGGTTCGGGCTTACGTCGCAATGATGTTGGAAGTGACATAGCAGAGGTCCAAATCAGACTCTGCATGGCGTGCGCGGGGCCCCGCGACGATCTGCCGCAGTAAAGAAGCCATGTTGGAGGGACGAGAACCGAAACTTTGAATGCGAAAGTGACAGTGGTATTCTCCTGTAAAGCGGAGCAAAGTTTACAATGGGGGTCGAGCGCCAAGAAAAGGGTTCCGTTGCAGTGCGTCGGTATTAATAAATGGTGGCCAGGGAAGCTGAAAAGGCCTCCTGACGCTTTTTCGATAGCCAACTACGCCTTGGTCGCGTGCAACTTGTCGAGGCTTGACGTCGGTGTGAGCGACGCTCGGGCGACGTCATTGATAGTGGGGTGAGCCGGGGGGAAAGTACCGAGCTACGCCTCTTCAGGTGTGGCTAGAGCATCCGATTTCCGACTTCCAGCAGCCCCCGCCAGCTTGGCAGCATGTGCTCAACCTACCTCCCTGAGGCCAATACGATTATCACAGCCCGAGTTTTCGGCAGCACACTTTTTTTTTTTTAAGAATTTTGTAATCATGCGGGGTTCATGTATTGCGCAAAACAAACTAGTAGACAATGGCCAAAGCCAGAGAGCAAAACGGGAAACCTGAAATCATGGTGTGATGCAGAAGGCAACCTGTCCAGGTCCCATACTCGCCGACACTCCGATAGCCTGAATGAATCGCGGGAAAACCGTTTAACCCTTGGTCGGCCGTAAACCATCAATCCCCTTCTGTCCCTTCCGTAACTACCATGTATCCATGCCCCGGCCCGTTTCTTATACATCCCTTCCAAAGAAACATTCTTATCATGGCTGGAGTTGCAGCCTGGCCCGTCTCAACGGTTGAGCCGCTGTTGGTGTGGAATCGCCGTTTTTGAAACGTCAGCGTCATGTCAGAGTCTTAGAAAACCCTGCGCACTTTGCTCGTCTCCGCAGAGCCTTACGACGTCTTCTTGGGGACGGCGGTGCCGCTGAGGTAGCGGTTAGGGTCGGTGTAGGCGTAGAACTGGCGCGCGCCTCCCTTGACAGCCTCCCAAGCCTGGCGGGCAGCAGGAGGAGTGCCCTGGTTGCCGACAGCCGAGTCGACGCGGGACTCGAACATGGCCAGAGAGTTCTGAACGTGAGTGCTCTGGGTGAAACGAGCGCGGATGAAGGCAGTGTAGATAGCAATCAGGATCCACGAGCGGCGCTGGAAGGTGATGGCAGACAGAAGAAGGCGAACCCAGAGAAGGATCTCAAGGGAGGAAACGACAGACATGGAGGCGTCGTAGTACTCCTTGACGAAGGCGCCAATCTTGTCGGCAATAGGGTTGTGTGCGTACTGAGGCTTTCCGCCGGGAGAAGCGCCAGCGGCCGGAGCGATGGGCTTGGGGGGAGTGATTGTGGGAATCACATTGGCGCGCGTGTAAGTAGCGACGTGGAAGACGGAGTAGATGGCGTAGGGGAGCATGGCCAGAGGGTACTGGGGAGAGAGGAGCCAGACCAGGGACATGCCTGCAAAGAGGGGTTAGATGCTGCCGCGAGGGATGGAATCAGGTGAAGCTCACAGAGGTATTGGACATTCTCGTCGGCGGCGAGAGCCAGCGGGCTCTGAGGGGCCTTGGCTCCAGCCTTGCTACGGGCTCTCAGAGTCTTGTAGACGACAATGCCGTATGTGAGGGCGGCCGAGAGGAAAGTGAGTCGATAACTCCAACGGGCGACACGGCTGTAGTAGTTGAAGGTAACGTAGGAGAGAGAGTAGCGGATAACGGACATGATCAGGGTCAAGTGTCTGCAAGATGTTTCGTCAGCTGGTGTTCGATCGAAAAGCCGTCGTCAAAGACGCAGCCATCGGGATCCTCCGCTCGCGCGACCAAAATATTGTTCGAATTGCAGGGAGACGGAAGAAGCTCGAAAGGTTCAACGGAAGAGTCTGCACGTACCCGGCAAACCAAGCGACTGTGAAAAAGAGGCAGTTAGCATATGCCGCAGTCAGACATGCAGACGCAGGCTCGGTGTAGACGTACATTGCAGGGTTTGGGCGAGGAGCAGAAGCCTCTGGGTGAGAGGGACGTTGGCGGGCGGAGGGGGTGCCATGATGCCAGATTCTGGTAGTTTCAAGGGCGCGATAGGCGTCGAGTATGGATGTAGTGGTGAATGTCGATATTGGGCGGATGCGCAAGGTGTTGAGGACGTCGCGATGCTGGGCAAAGCAAAGAGTCGTGCGAAGGCTGGCTGGTGATGATTAAGTTAACTTGGGGAAAGCTGGCCTGAATGCGCAAGAAGTCGAGGTGATGGTGGAGATGGAGTGGTGGCTGGTTCCAAGGTGGAGGAGCCCAGGTGGAGGGAACGGAAATGGAGCCTGGACCGGGCAAGCGGTGGTCGGTGCGTCAGTGCGTCACTGCTTCCTTCTGTGTGCTTCCCTTTGGTCAGTTCTTGCCCTTTTTTTTTTCTGTGCGATTCTTGCAGGCTGGGGTTGGTGGGCAAGGAAAAGGTTACAGCAACCCGTCGGACGGCGGCGTTTCGACAATCAACCCAGGCCAGCTGAAATGTCAAGGGTCCTCAGCGGCAGATCGGCGGGCGAGGGAGGGGGTCATTTGGATTGTCAATGAAGGCCCAGAATTTATGACGGGACGGAGGAGGTAAAAGAGACACCAAAGCTCATCGAAACGTCACACAATCTCACGATACTCACATGTAATTATTGCGTAGGTAGGCAATCCCAAGATGTGATACGTTTTATTTTTGTTTACTTTTTCAAATTTTCAGCTGCTTTCATGTCGGATCTCATCTCAGGTTCCCAGCAGGAAGGAAACATCTGAGCGAAAGGTGACTTCCAGGCAAAAGCGAAACATGAGACGACGGAATGAAATCCGTGCTTTTCTGGTGGCATCAAGCTTATCACCAAGCAACAACCGCTACCTTAAAAAAAGCATGTGGATGCTCTAATGTGTGATGAAGACACCTCTACCTCTCTGCCTTGGCTTGGTTGGGCGCCATTCACCAGACTCACAGCGCAGAGACGGACGGTCTTTCATCACCACCTGACGCTAATACCGGACTTCCCTGTTGGTGTCAAGCCACAATTCTCGCCGTCCCTTCTTTTCGTCATCATCACACCTCCACGTCCTGGTCTGTGCGCCAGCTGCAGCTCTGATCCACCCACCAGCTTTAGCCAATAATTATTCTCCGCTCTTAATCACATTCGCACACTGTCCATCCCCTATACAATCCAGCCAGATACACAGTCATTATTGATAAACGCTAACTGTCCGGCGAGACCCCTGTCAATTGGGGAGCTGTGGCGTCACAGAGCTCCCGAAATCTGAAATGTTGGGATTTGGAACTCCGTGGCATCACCATCTTTGATCGTTTTGACGGCCTCGTGTTGCTTCGCCCACGTCGACCGCGACACCACCGCCACGATGCCGCCGAAAGCTGCCCCTCAGCAGAGGGAATTCGTCCACCCCGAAGCCGGACATGCGCGAAAGAAGTATGGTGTTCAATTCCATTTCCATGTTCTTGTTGAACCCCTCCACTAACAAGACCGTTGCGCCAGGCCGCCCAGCGCCTTCGCTATCCAGCCCATCACCGCCTTCTACTGCTTCTTGGCTGCCAACATAATCTCCGCCCTCTTCGCCCCGATCCAAGACTGCGACGAGACATTCAACTACTACGAGCCCACCCACTACCTGTCCCACGGATACGGTCTCCAGACATGGGAATACTCCCCGACCTATGCTATCCGCAGCTGGCTGTACGTTAGTCTGCACGCCATTGTCGGCAACATCCGCCGTCTACTACCGCAGTCTACCAAGGCAAGCTCCATGTTCACCCCTGGGAGTCAAGACCGCGCAATACTGACTATACCAGGTCGGCGAGTTCTACTTCATCCGATATGTCCTGGCCTTTAGCTGTGCTCTGTGCCAGACCCTCCTGTTCCGCGTTATCAGCCTCACTCTCAACGCGCGAATCGGTCTCTTCTTCATCATGGCCACCGTTTTCAGCCCTGGGAACTTCCATGCGAGCACGGCCTACCTGCCCTCCAGCTTTGCCATGTACATGGCCATGTTGGGCGCTTCATCCTTCATGAACTGGCGCGGTGGTCTGAAGACCGCTCATGGAATCTTCTGGTTCGCCGTCGGCGCTGTTGTAGGCTGGCCTTTTGCTGCCGCTCTCGCCACGCCATTCCTGATCGAGGAAGCCCTTTTTGCCATGCTGAGCGACAAGGACCGTTTCATTGAGGCCATCATTCGCGTCACCAGGGGTGTTATTGCCGGTCTCATTGTGTTGGTAAGTTTCTCGGCGTTCCTCTTGTCTGACCCTGATCTGACCTCTTCAGTTCTTCGATGGCTGCATCAACACCTTCTTCTACAAGAAGGTCGAAGTCGCCGCATGGAACATCGTCAAGTACAACATTTTCTCCGAGACTGGTGGTCCCGAGCTGTACGGTGTCGAGCCCTGGGACTTCTACTTCCGAAACCTGGCCCTGAACTTCAACATCTGGTTCATTCTCGCCCTTGTTTGCCTACCTCTTTTCCTCTTGCAAAAGATCTTTTCCCCTTCAGGTCAAGGTTTCCAGACAGGCTTGCGCGCGCTTGTCTTCATCTCTCCCTTCTACCTATGGCTCGGCATTTTCACTCTGCAGCCTCACAAGGAGGAGCGTTTCATGTACCCCGCCTACCCGTTCCTCGCACTCAACGCGGCAATGTCCTTGCACATCCTCCTTGGTGCGATTGGCAACTCTGACCCAAAGACACTCGTTGGCAAGATCCCCGCCCAGCTTAAGCTGTTTACGGTCACTTTGGTTCTCCTGCTCTCCATCGACGTCGGTCTCTCCCGTGTCTACGGCATCTGGTCTGCATACTCCGCCCCCATGAGGCTCTACTCGCCGCTCGGAGCCGGCGTCAGTGGACAGCAGGGGCTGGGTGTCCGAGGCGACAATGTGTGTTTTGGCAAGGAGTGGTACCGTTTCCCGTCGTCCTACTTCCTGCCCCGCGATATGCACGCCAAGTTCGTTCGTTCTGAATTCCGAGGCCTGCTTCCTGGTGAGTTCTCGGAAGCCCGCACCGGCTTTGGCTTCTGGAGCGGCACTTGGATGCCCACCAGCGGCATGAACGACAGGAACGAGGAGGATATGGGCAAATATGTCGACCACAGAGTCTGCGGTTTCTTGGTTGACACCCAATACCCGGAGCGGGACGACCCGCTGCCACCCAATGAGCCCGACTACATCGCCGACCAGGAGAACTGGGAGATTGTCAAGTGCATTCCGTTTATGGATGCTGCCATAACGCCGTTCCTGGCTAGAGCACTCTGGGTTCCGGATCTGCCTTTCGTCCCTGAGCAGTTCAAGAGGAAGTGGGGTCAACATTGTCTGCTGAAGCATAAGAAATAGAGGCGAGGTAAAGCTACTGTACGGGAAAGCTGCAAGATCTCCCTGTTGCTCAGTTGGACGTGGCCGAAGTCAAGCGCAAACTTGAACGACCTGCCACTACCAAGTGATACACACAGGAAGGGCTGCTAGAGGTGGTGCGAGGAAGAATCTGTGACCACAGGCCATGCCTTTAAGGAGGTCAGAAGGTGGCATCACTCTTCCTATACCACAGCTACATGGACTCATGGCGTAGGAAGAGCACGAGGGTGCTCAATGTGCCTGTAGGTCCGGCAGCATCATCATCAAAGTGCGAGATATTTGCACCAGAGCCTTTTGGTGCAATTGGCCCGGGTTCTACCTACAAGAGGGGATGAGGACGCTGGCTTTGGTTGGCAAAAGAGTGTCAGCAGTCACAGCTCACAACTCAGAACAATGAATAATGTTAAATCTTGATGTTATAATGAAATGCTGTGATGTACGCTGAGGAGGTGTCAAAGATGTGTCTCTTTTCTATTTTGAATGGCCTCTCTATTCCCAGAGCATCAAAAATGAAACGCGCCCTGGGTTCAACGTGCCTGCCTGGAAACCCAAGGCAGGCAGGAACAACTTGAGGCAAACCAAAGCAGGAGCCTGGCAGCCTACCTATTCAGGGAGGAACTGCTCCCGTCTCTGCAACAGCAAGTGGCCAAAAGGAGGGCGGGGGATCCAATACCAGAATGGTTTACGATGCCAGTCGAACCGAGAGATCATGCTAATCCATCGTGATACCCTCCAAGTTCGAATTACTTCTTTTGCACGCCATTACCGACACCATCGTTTCTTTTTATCTACTCAAAAGAGGAAAGACATGACGCGCTTCCACATCGCAGGCTTCTTCTCCTCATCCGTGTCGTAAACCTCCAGCTCCTCCTCGCGCCGCCTTCCCTTATCCAAATCAACACTCTTCAGGTCAACCCCGAAGCTCCAGTCCTTGGTGTACACCTTCCAGAACGCAAAAAGCGACAGAGTGATGGGCAGAGCAAGATAACTCTGAAAAAACGACTCCGCATTCGGGCTCCCGCCAACAGGCTATATCAGAAAAGGTCAGCACACATCATCCCACCGAGCGAACTGGATAGGGAACTTACGAAAAGCGCAGAATAAAACGTCGCAGACAACGAGCAAAGCACCAAGAACACGCCCACGTAGCTCCCTCCCGCCCCGAGCGCGGACCGCCACGGGATGTCCTCGACCCGCCGCCCCTGCAGGCCCCAGGCCTTGCGGAAGCGGATGTGCGCGAGCATGATGCTCAGGTACGCGAACTGGCCCGAGAGACCCGTGACGGCGAGCAGCCAGTTGAAGACGACCTTGGAGTCGGCGGCCACGGTGACGAAGGAGAGGAAGCCGAAGGCAACCTGGAGCACCACGCAGTAGATGGGCCTGCCGCTGCGGTCGACGCGCGCGAAGATGCGCGGGGCGCGGCCTGAGGCGGCCAGGGCTTGGAGGACGCGGGTCGAGCCGTAGGTGCAGCTGTTCGCGACGGAGATTACGGCGAGGGTGATTACTATTGCAATGTGACGTCAGCGTGGTGCTTGTTGGTCGAAAGGATGATAATGGGAAGAAGAAGAAACAAAGCATACCGCCATTGATGATATGAGGGAGGACTTGGATCCCGGCCAGCTCCACGGCCAACACGAACGGCGAGGCCTTGGTGTTCGCTCCGCTTGCGCCCATGAGGACGTCGCTATCAGAGGGGACGATGAGGCCCATGATGAAGATATTGAGGATGTAGAACAGGGTGATGCGCCAGAAGACCTGACGAGTCGCCTTCGGGAGAGTCTTGCGTGGGTTGGCGGCTTCCGCTGCCGCGAGGCCTACCATTTCTGTTCCGCCGAAGGAAAATGCTGCCAAAGAGTCTCAGTTGACATTATCAAAGGATTAAGCTCTCGAGGGTGATCCGTACCAGCAGTCACGAAGACGGAGCAGAAGCCCTGGAACCCGTTCCTGAAGGCCCCTGGGTCCTGCCAGTATCGTGCCCCGATGTATCCGCGCGGATCTGTGGGCACGCCGCCGGCGTTGATGATGATACCTAGGATGATGAATACCACACATGCCAGAACCTTGACGAATCCCAGCAGAAATTCGACTGTGTCGATGGTCAGTAGGGGGCATTTTATAGAGGAGAGCAGGTTCTATCAAGGTCTACTCACCTTCGCCATAGCCTCGAACCCCAAAGACCTGGATCACGATCAATAACGTCATGAAGACTGCGCACCACACTCCCGGGTTGACTTCCTCCCTGCTCTTCCAGAACTCGATGGTGATACCGGCCGCGGTGATTTCGAAGGGAAGGGTTACCATCCAGCCGATGGAGTATTCCCAGCCCATAGCGAAGCCCCTGATAAGTGTCGATAAGCACACGATCGAAGTGGAATGGCACTTTTCTGGCTCTAGACTCACCAAGCTGGATCGATGAAGCGAACGGCATACTCGTAGAAGGCGCCGTTGACGGGGTAGATGATGGCCAGTTCTCCCAGAGCTTGAACCGTGCACATCATCATGCAACCGATGATCATGAAGCCGATCAGCTGGGCTTGATATTAGTACTGAAGTAGTATTTGATATTCGTCGGCGTGGGATAGACCTACCAAGGAAGCTGGTCCACCGGTTCTCAACGCTCCTCCGGTGCCGACGAAGAGACCTGCTCCGATAGATCCGCCTGAAGTTCATCATGGTGTTTGAGTCCTTGTGATTTCAGATGTTTAAATTACAAGGACACCTACCAATTGCAATCATCTGCATGTGTCGCCCCTTCAAAGCCCTCGACAGGGCGCGGTGCTCGCTCTCGCCTTCTCCATCACTGGAGGCTGGCTGGATGGCTTGCTCGTCGGCGACGTCGAATTTCTTTTCGTCGATTGCCATGTTCGGTGGAAGTATTTCAAAGGCCTCATGTCACGCCCAACAGGTAACGAACATCTGAGCACGAGCTAAGATCTCTTTTATTCAGGCCTATCTATCGGTCGCTTCATCCCATCCCACACGGACGTTATCTTTCATCCCAGCTCGCCGCCCCTGAGTTGCATGCTCTGTATGCCGTGCTTGATAGTAGAACCGCGGTCGACGTCTTATCAGATGGATGCGATGCTGCACCTGTTGGCTGTAGGCCAGGGTCGCGGCTGTGCCTCACTCGAGGACGTGCGTGCAGGCTGCTGTGGTAGGGGAATGTGAACTGAAATAGTAAAGATAGGTATGAGATGCAGGTCTTCGAGACGCGAGTTGATCACCGAGTGCAGCATCCGACGGGCGTCTGTTATCAGTATCAGGGGTTCGAAGCAAGCTTTTGGTTAAGCAACATGCCATGGCACGGCATGCCTAAGTTGTTCTTGGCAGTACGACGATCAGGTATCCTCAATGATATCGACGAGTAGATGCTATGCCAGTGCGCAAAAAGAATCGACATTTTCTGAATATTTGACAGGACTCATTGCGAAAAAGAGAAAAAAGGCAGAAGTTCGCCGAGGAACTCTGCAGAGGAGGGAACAGGCGATCGGGTGCGGGCTGAGGACGGACAGCAGCAGCGACAGCTGCAATTATGAACCAGGGCCAAGATAAGGTCGGTCCTCGAAGACTGATCGGCATCTCTTGACGTCGCTGTCTGGGAAGGCAACTCGTTAGCCAACACATATCTGATAAGAAACCTCGAAGCTCGGGTTGAAGTTAAGTGAGGGTGGGTCGCATCGGAGGGGTGCCCGGTAAGGTGGATCCTCCCCGGAGCCCTCCCCGGTACCCTTTCCCAAGTACATTCCGAAAGAGGAAGTCGGCCCAAGGATCACTCAACGCAATCATCCATCTTATCTGCACGTGTGCCGGCGTCAAGTGACATGTTATCAGCGTGAATGCATCTGGATAATGTCACCGGCGGGCACTCGCCCAGGCTTGCTCCCTGTTCGGCTAGCATCGCGAGATGCGGGGGAAGAAGGCGATAGCCCGCTCCCCCCGCGCCGTCATCGAATGGCTGGAAAACACCAACCACACGCCAACTCATATCTCCAAGACGGAATATTGGAACGCTTCCCGATTGGAATTGTCATCTCAAGCGCAACATGTGACCTAGTTTCTCGACACCAGGATGGCCATGCCGCCACTTCCGTAGATCGGACCGGAACGAAGCGTTGGAGAAGGGTGTTGGAGAACGACCGGATCCGATCATGACTTTGAGGCGGGGAAGCTTGGTGAGCATTTAGACGCCTACCGCCGGCCGTTGATTGACCTTCTCGTCTCTGAAGTCACGACCACATCTCTGAGATCGGAAGTATCTGCGTATCCTGGGAGCAACGCGACCAAGACGTATTTTTGTCATTTTCACAGTTTCTTTGTCACATCCCGGCTTATCGTTCATCAACACAACGAAAGCGAGGCTTATCATGAAGGTCTCGCTAGGCGTCTTCTCCGCCAAGAGACCGTGGACGAGCCCCGCGTTCGTCGCATCCAGCAGACGAAACTACGGCAAACCAACACAACCACGACAAGCCCTCGGAGCCGGCTCCTCACACGCCGCTCTCTCCGATACAAGCAGTCTCGAACTCAAGCCTCCTGCGGCACGAGAATCCGTCCCCGGCTACCCCCTTTCCGTCTTATCGACCGGGACCCTCCTGAGATCGCTGCTCGTCACCACCATCTCGTCGAGCCGCCTTCTCCTCATCCCGTCCCTCTACACCCTGTCCTTCCTCACCAAATCAAGCGGGAACTTCCTGCTCGATGTCGATCGCAACCCGGTGTTGCATGCTATTCTGAAGAAGACATTCTACGACCAGTTCTGTGCCGGCGAGACGCCTGAGCAGACCAAAGCATGCGTTGAAGGACTCAAGGCGCTGGGTTTCAAGGGTGTCATCCTGACCTATGCCAAGGAGACTGTCTTTGACCACTTGACTCAGTCGGCCCATGAGACTGGGAAGACGGCTGCTGCTTCGGGCATTGATGGCTTTGATGCCGAGATCGACTCGTGGAGACTGGGAACTCTGGAAACTGCTGCTCAGGTCGGCGAGGGCGATGTCCTCGCTATCAAGTATGTGTCCTGCCCATGATAATATGTCGTACTCGCTAATAGTAATCAAGGTTGACCGGTGCCGGTCGTGAAGTCACAAAAGCGTTCGCCGCCGATTCGCTTCCCCCGCAGCAGATGCTAGACGCGTTGGAAGAAATCGCAACAACGTGCAAGCAACGCGGAATCAAGATCATCGTCGACGCCGAGTCGCAGCACTTCCAGAAGGCCATCGACAACGTCACGCTCGAGCTCATGCGCAAGTTCAACCGCGACGGTTACGCCGCCATCTACAACACCTACCAGGCTTATCTCAAGAGCACACCAAGCAACGTCACCAACCACCTCGCAGAAGCCAGCAAGGACGGGTTCACCCTGGGCCTCAAGCTCGTGAGGGGAGCGTATATCCTGTCCGACGACCGATCTCGCATCCACGACACGAAGCAGGATACCGATGACGCGTACAACGCCATTTCCCAGGGCGCGGTGATGAGGCACATCGGCGAGTTCGGCGGCGAGGGTCCGGGATCGAAGCCGTTTCCCTCTGTGGACTTGCTGTTGGCTAGCCATAACAAGGAGAGTCTGTTTGCCGCGCTGAAGTTGCATCAGCAGCGTGTCAAGGAGGGAAAGCCGACTGTGCCTATCGCGTTTGGGCAGCTTCATGGCATGTCTGATCAGGTCAGCTTCTCTCTTCTTCAGGAGAAGAATGAGGGGTTTGGGGGTCCGGATGTTTACAAGTGTTCTACTTGGGGAAGTATGGGCGAGTGTTTGGCGTATTTACTACGGAGGGCGGTGGAGAATCGGGATGCGGTGCTTAGGACCACGGATGAGCACGCTGCCGTGAAGAGTGAATGTTGGAGGCGGTTGAGGGGGTCCTTTTCAGTTGCAAGATGATGTCCCAAATAACATCACGTCAGTAAATCGTTTTCGTGTAAAGAAGCGCTTCCAATTGATCAGTCTAAGGACGCATTATCAACAGACGGGTTGGAATACCCAAAATGTTTTAGAGGCTTACAATCACGGCGCCGCAAACACTTCCATCTCGTCATCGTCCGATTCGTCACTTCCAGCCAGCTCAGCATATGACGACCAGGTATTGTCACAGTAATCGCTCCCAACGTACTTTTCAAGCGATTCAACGTCAGGCCGCAAAGGCCAGAGTGGCGGGCAAGTCGCCTCGTCGACGAGAACATCTTCTGCATCCAGATGTACTGTGAATGCCCGCCAGAATGAGCATTTTGGTCCCGCAAATGAGTTGGGTCCTGTCCAAGCTTTGCCCACGACCTTGAAGTACTGGCCTTGAATGTGCTCCCGAACAACGAGCGCTCTGCGATTATACCAATGATGGAACAAGCACCAGTCCCCTACCTCAACGTTTTGCGGAAGAAGCACGGATCCTGCCTTGGAAAGCTTGTCCCTCAAGTTCTCATTTACTGGCCCCTTGTACAACCGTGGGTGTCTCCACGGAGTACCTGAACATTTGAGAGGTTGAATCACCCACTGACCGTTATTGTCGCGTGCAATTTTTGCGCCCTTGAAACGAATGTGAATCCATCGACTGTTACTAGGTTTCATGGCCGCTTCCAGCTCTCGCGAGGCATTTCGCACTTGTCGTCGATGCATGGCCTTCGTCAAGTTCACCGAAGGATCCATATCCTCACGGAGTTCGAGCGTTCTAGTCAATGCCGCGGCTGTCTGGAAAAAGAAGACAGTTATCCTTCCGGACTTGAAAAGTGTCTCGACCGCCAGATCGAATCGATCACGCGAGTAATCCGGTTTGATAGGCTCGTGCTCGCCCCAATCAACCATTGAGAGAATCCCGTAAATCCTGTCCAGACGATCCCGGCACTTCAGCTCGAGGACAGATGGCACGAGGTAGCATATGCTCTGCATCGTGCCCCAACAGCCAGCCTGTAACATTGTATAGCTGTCAGAAATGTTTCCAAGTTCTGATAGTGTCGAGAGTTTTGGGTTGAAGAACACAAAAACATTAGACAGCTCCTCAAGACATTCAATGAGAGAGACCAATCCGTAAAGTAGTTTGACGGGCAGATACTCCCCCCCACAGTGAATGTCAATGTTCCGTCCCATGGCCAGCTCCTGAAAGACCCATAAACGCTTGAAGTATTCCCGTTGCGAGAAAGTAGTCAGCGCGTTGCACAGCCGCAGGAGCCTTTTATTACTTCGCATGGCGAAACGCAACACCACTTCGAATCGGTGTCGAAAGCGACGAAACAATTGATCACCTAATCTTTCGAACAGTCTCTTGCTTCGGATCGTCGCATACAAAAACTCGCTGTCGTCCGCATGATCTCCAGCGTACGCTAATACTCATTGAGCACCTCCGAAGACCCTCCCCATCAAAGCGACCTGCTTGCCTTTCTCCTCCAAATTCTTCTAATCTATACAGATAGCATCGATCCAATATAAAGTGGAGGCATCGTAGGCCTAAGCCCGCCAAAGGACAGCTTCACAGGTCTGCCCAACATGCATAGCGAAGCCATCCACGTGTATCGTTGTGGTAGGCGTTAGCGCAGCAGCCCAATCAAACATTTAAAAGGCTTTCAAGCAAATAAGCAAGCAAATTAAAGCTATTTAGATATTTAAATAGTTAAATAACCCCCCTCAATTTAGATTAATTAATTAACTAAAAGTAGATATAAATTATCTATTAATTTAGGCTCTAGACTAATAGGAATTTTTAAAAAATTTAAAAAAAAGGTAAAATAGACTAATAATAAACTAAAGTTTAAACTTAAGTAGAGTTAGTAATTATTACTACTAATAGTAGCTATATAAAACTAATAACTAAATTATAACTTAAATATAAAGTATATAGCGCTATAAATATAGACTATACTTTATTACCTATTATACTACTTAATTAAATAATATCTATAAAAAGAAAGAGGATAAATATTTTATAATACTAAAGTTTTTAGTTTTAAGCTTTAGTTTAATTAGTAGATATAGGGTAGGTTATAGAGGGTATAGATACCTAATGCTTAATAGTATATATATATACTAGCCTATTTACTATTAATAAATTTTATTAACTTAGCTTAATACTATAAATATTATAAATTTTAGTTAGTTTAGCCTTTATTACTACCCCTCTATTACCCTCTATTATATACCCTCTTTTATACTTAAATAATTAATAATAACTTTACTTTTACCCTCTTTAGTAATTATTTAATAATCTCTTATTTTTATAATACCTTAATTATTCTATATTAAAGCCTTATAGTTATATTAATATATATTAATAATATCTTATCTCTTTAAATCTAAAACGTTAAATATATTAATTATTAACCTTAATATATATAATATAATCTATAGGCTACTTTATATAACTTAGAGAGATAGGCGCTTTATTAATAATAACTTTATTATGAAGAAGGGCTCTTATAGTTAATCTAATTAAATTAAAATAGAGGGACTCTTTATTAGAGAGATTATAAGTAATAAGGTTTATAGTTAAGCCTTTTAAATCTATTATTACTATAATAAGAGGGGTAATTTAGATTAGATATTTAGTACCTAAGTAACTACTTTTACTACCTCCTATCTTAAGAATAAGTATTATATTATTAAGTTATTAGCTAGTACTAATATAGCTAATACTCCTTTATTTATTAAGGTTATTAATAATAATAATAATAATAATATAGATCTACTTATATTATTATTATTAAAGAGGTACTATTCTATACCTATTAATATTATTATAAAGGCTTAAGTTATAAAATATTAAAGTCTTATAGTTATATATATAGTTAATATAAATAACTCCTTTTTAACTTTTTATAACTAGTTTATTTAAGCCCTCCTTTATAACTTTAATTTATCCCTTTATAACTAAGTTCTATAGTTAAAGTTAAATATAAGAGACTAATTATATAAAATCTATATAGTTTAAAAAGATTATATTAAGTCTTAATTATATTAAGCTATAATAAAGATCTATTTCTCTTTTAATCTATAGACCTCTTCTAACTACTATATAATTATTATAATTTTCTATTACTTTATTAACTATATAGATAAATAGATCTAATACCTTATTACTCTCTATTATTAGTTTAGCTTTTATAATAATATTAATATTACTTTTATAATATATTAAGTTATTAATAAATAAGATATTAAAAAGTCTATTAATATCTTTATTTTTAATAATACTTTTAATAATAATATATATATTAAGTTTATTTTTAACTATATATCTATTAACTATAACTATAGACATTAATATTATAAATTAATATATAAGATATTATAGCTATATCTTTAACCTTATAAATTAAGCCTTCTTATTTAGTATTAATTCTAAAGCTTTTAAATAAAAAGCTAATAATTTACTAACTTTTAAGTAGCTAAAAAGAGATCTTATCTTCTAGTAGACTAAAAGGCTAATTAATAAACTCTATAATATTATTAAGTATATTAAATTATCCCCCTAGAGGACTAAGAGGTTTTTATCTATTAATAATAAAGACCTTTATATAGCTAATAATAACTTTATTATCTTTAAGCTTTTATCTTAAAAGCTAAAGTTAATACTTAATAATAATATATAATAAAACTCTATCTACTTTATAATTAATTAAGCCTTTATTAAGTACCTTTAAATCTCTAGTTATATTATTAATAATATAGCTCTACTTAATATTAATAATTATCTACCTATTAAAGACTACCTCTTTAATAAGGATTAACTCCTCTTTATTAAGATTAAAGAGGTATTTAAGCTACTCTATAAGTAGACTATAAAGTATTAAGGCTAAAGTAAAAGTAATAATTATAGTTAACTATAAGAGGTTATAATAAAAATAGAGTATTTTATTAATTAACTTAAAGAATAAAAGAGACTCTTTAATAAGCTTATTAATAAAGAGATTAAATTTATAGCCTCTTAAATATTTCTCTCTATTTATTATATATTATTAAAATAATTAAGAGTATTATAAATAGTTTAAGGGGGGGGGGGGGGGGGGGGGGGGGGGGGGGGGGGGG